GGCTTGGTGATTACAATATCACCAAGCTCTTAAAGATTCTATTTCCCTTTTGCAGCCAATCATATTTTGTAAAACTTTGCAGGAATTATGAATATGTCATGTAAAGTACATGTACAGTGTATGTCCTATCTGTGAAATTTAAATGTTAGCAGTGTCCTAATATTCAAATTATGCAAAGAAACCTGTTTACTTGCTAGACTTCACTGACAGACACTATTTTTTTCGTTTGTTTGTTTTTATTTCTGCAAAAATAAAATCAAAATAGAACATAATCATACATAAAGTAACAATTATTTCTTCATTTCACATAATTATAAATGTTTAAGTACATTTTAAAGATGCACAAAGACAAATATTTTTTAATGAAAATAGATATATTACAGAAAACGCAGGAGACCGCCATCATGAGCGGTAAGCTTGAAATCGATGGCGGCCTCGAGAGAATAGCGGCAAACTCTTAAATTACTGTTAATCTCTGTGTACAAGACACACTTTTTCCTGCCAAAAATTCAAAAGTCGGTGGTGCGTCTTATATACGGGTTCAAAAAAAAAAAAAAAAAAAAAATTAAAGTTTTGATTTATATGCCCTCCACCTGGCACTGTGCCTGGCAATATCCCCCAGCTCAATCAAACGACTCGGAAACTAGAACCACGCTACCTGAATGTCCAGATTTCTGTCATCTTTAGTTATAAAAACTAATTATCAGAATAATGAACATTTGTTTTTAAAACTAAATTGTTCATTATAAGTTATAATAAACTATTATTTGTGACAAGTTCATTATTCTGATAACTTCATTGTTACCTGTACTATTATTTGTGACAAGTTCACAATAAAAAATTGGCGCCTCCAACTGCACCTCGCAGTGAAATGAAGGTCTTTTCCCATGTGGGTTTTTTAACACGGACCTGGCTTGCTGGCTACAGAGTCCGACACAAAAAGCCCCCAAAATAGGGGTGCGTCTTATACACGATTTACGGTACATTTGTACACACAAAATTGATCAAGGACATCGTGCATGCGCGTTATACCATAAACCATACAAGAAGTTTGCATAGTTTTGGACTGATAGCTTCAGTTTGATGTGCAGAGCTCTAGTAGTGTAAAGATGGTACTGAGCAACGACGTCGACATCGAAGCCCTAGGCTAAACAGAGGTTTCCCGATGTTGGATGTGATCCAAATTCAGGTGGAAAATGCAATTATTCCTTTGCTAAGAATGGATATTAAACTGCTAAAAAAAATGTATACGGAACTACACTAGAGTAGTGGCTCCGGTGTGTGGCCGGTCCGCCGGAACTGCCGATTCTATTTTTATGCAAATACTCACAGAATACTTCAATACCCTCAATATAGAGTCCATATACTTACTTATTAAATAGAAGTCACAAATAACCTACCGTAATTAACAGTGTATAAACCGCACCTTTTTGCCGCCGAAAAAAATTCAAAGTCGGGGGTGCGGTTTATACACAGTACACCAATTTTTTTTCTTTTTTGATTTATGCCCCCCCCCCCACCTAACGCTATGCCTGGCAATGTCTCCCAGTAATCGGTGTTGACTCACCACTCGGAAACTAGAACAACACTCAAATTTGTCTGTGATCTCAATATGTAGTTTAAAATAATAATTCCTCCAATTTTTCTTCTATTACATGTGTACCACAAGGTTCTATCCTAGGTCCTCTACTGTTTTTTTAATTTACATTAATGATCTTACACATTTAGCTGCACCTCGCAGTTAAATGAAAGGCCTTCCCGCGTGGGTTTTTTAACACGGACCAGGCTTTTTTTTTAAGGGCGAAAAAGAGGGGTGCGGTTGATACACGAGGGCGGTTTATACAACGTTAATTACGGTACATGTAACTGACCTACAGCATGGTCAGCATTGACGTTTCGAAATGCTTTGAGTTCCCCAGTTTGCGGCCACGCATTACCCGGTGGGCGGCACGCGTACATCACAAAGCTTTATGCGCAACGTCACGATCAAAGCATGTACGAAATTACTACGGGGCAATTCCACGGTAACGGAAGGACACTCAGACAAGATTTTTGAACTTCAGGTTCATACTAAAAGAACTGTTTTATTAGTATAAGATGTGAAACAGTACAGATATAATACCTATATAAGTGCCTTTAATTCTCCCCCAAAAAATTGTCATTATAGTTAAGTAGTTTAAGAATGTGCATATTAATTATCTCGGTAACGGAAGGACATAAAAATGGACATGGTTTTTCCAGTTAATTAGTGTTTATCCAAACTTTGTGAAGTTGATGAAGCTTTCCACTTGACTGAAACACATTTTGTTCCCCATAGTTTAATACATACTAATAAAACATTTCTTTTAGTATGAACCTGAAGTTCAAATATCTTGTCTGAGTGTCCTTCCGTTACCGTGGAATTGCCCTACGGGTAACCCAAATTATCAAATTACCCGCCGCGGATAAGCACGGATAAGCGTCGGTCTGGACAGATTTTTTTTTTTTTTTTTTTTTTTGCGGCCGAATATTCAGGTACGATTTCTCGTACCCGGCCGAGTAGTTGTCAACCGTGCGGGTAGTCGAGCATTCGACTACACGTCGCAGCCCTATAGCATACCACATATCCCACACATACCATACCATGCCAGAGTCACTGAAGAACCACATTTGCAATGGAAAATATATCCTAAAATATCACATTTTAGTGATGTAATCGACAGTCCCGCTACCCGAATCTGAAAAATCGAGTATCATATGCGTGTCTGTAAGAAATATGGGTACCATAAAATGAGCTTTATTTCAAGTATTTTTCAGATTTAGAGCCCGATTTTGAGCGAGTCGCAAGCTCAAAAGTATCTCATCGCATGTATTAAATCAATGCAGCCGGACACCGCAACGCACACACGCTATCTCTGTCTAATTCAGATTCCAATTTCCGATCAATGCAGAGCTAGTTTTCGACCTGGCGAGCACCCAGGAGCTCCGGCGTGGGATACCTGCTCCGCCCGCTAGTGCTATAGATCAGCGCGGAAACGTGCGGTGCACGCGCACACGCGCTTCCTCTTGACTTTGTACATGCGGTCGAAAACTGGCTCGCTATGCCGATAACTGCCTCCAAAACAAGTGAAAATTGAAATGAATATTGTCATGGCAATTCATGATTTTTTTCTGGGATTCTTTTTTGCTTAAATAATAATATTTGCTTCATGATTTAAACAATAAATGATAATAAATAGGAAGTAAAGTAAAGAGTCCCAAAATTAGGATTTTGTCTTAATGGTCGAAAAACCCCTCCTTTACTCTACTTCCACAACAACATCAAATTTCACCTCCAATCAGACAAATAGAGCTACAATATTGATCTAGTCATGCCTCGATCTCTTAACTTAAAAAGTCAGCACCTGCTGGAATTTTCATCGGCGACTGGTGACGTAAATTTCCAACATCGATGACGGATACTCCGTACAGAAATCGACAGGAACATCTGCTACGGATGTTTTCGGCAAAGCAGAACTTACCAGGGAATCCATGGTAGGTTTCAATAATTATAATCGAGTCATAGACTATATATTTTATTCGTAGACCTACCCCTACACCGGAGACTCTATTCTAGAGCCTCTAGAGACTCTTCTCTAGCGCCTTTCTGTGTTCACCATGCACCCAACGGACTAGACCGAATTTTCCGTCTCTTTCGTTCGTTAGCCTTAATTATTGGGGTAGGGTCGGCCGGCTCTCTCTTTAGAGACGGAAACCGTCTATACACATTCCCTTGATAACGCCACGGCCATTTCAGGTCGTAGCGTTTTGCCCCCAAAATCCCCCAAAATGTCATTTTACCTCGTGCATGTTATATTGTAAATTAGGCCTAGGCTATAATAAATCAGTTCCACTTACCAACTTTACTGAAATAATCAGTTTAATAGTCCCTTTTTAGGAATTTATGGGTCAAAATCGAAATCCATGTTGAAAAAGATTTTCAAAATGGATTTCGATTTTGACCCATAATTTCCTAAAAAGGGACTATTAAACTGATTATTTCAGTCAAGTTGGTAAGTGGAACCGATGTATTATAGCCTAGGCCTAATTTACATGTGGATATGCACGAGGTAAAATGACATTTTGGGGGATTTGGGGGGCAAAACGCTACGACCTGAAATGGCCGTGGCGTTATCAAGGGAATGTGTATAGACGGTTTCCGTCTCTAAAGAGAGAGCCGACCCTACCCCAATAAGAGGCTAACGAACGAAAGAGACGGAAAATTCGGTCTACCAACGGACTAACTCCGGGAAGCTCCAACACCGGCGCCACAGGCGTCGGAGCTTCGGGTGGTTTCCTTGGTTTCTCTTGGGGGCTAGTAAAACAGCCGATTGGGTGATATTATCGTTAAATCTGCAAAGGGAGTACTTACAATTTTTACATCATAGGGTGCAGGACTCCTCAGGGCTCAACTCCAATCACTTGAATGTATAATTTGAAGAAGTCTTCGATGGGAAAAAAAGGTTAATTCGAGGTACTAGACTACACCAACGATTCTTCCATGTCGCAGCGTTGATTCAAAATAGCGATGAGAAGGTACGCATGCGCGGCAGTGGCAAAGAAAATATGAATATTCAGGCTATCGAGCGCCGATCGCTCGAAATCGCTGAATATGCACGAGGTTGAGAAGGGCTCTGTTTCTTCGAGTTACCAACGGACCGGCCAAAAACCCCCTCCTTTACTCTACAAATACAAGACCCGATTCATCCAAAAAGGTGAGGCGAATATTAGTCTAAGCCTAGTAATATTAATAAAGATCACGTTTGCGGCCAACCACCCGCAAGATGAGTATTACTATTAGAAGTAGAAGTAGAAGAAGCTCGCAGCCCTAGCCACAGGAGGTGCGGTGCCGGTGCCCTGGCCCGGCCCTGCCCAATGCCATGCCCCCGCCCCTCTCGACACGGCTCGGCCCGTCATCATTGAACATGTCACTGTCAGTGACACTGAAATTTGAAAACAACAAGAAGAAAAAAGATACATACCTTGCACTGCCAAAGATGCACCGCTTGCAATGTTACGACAGCAAATAGTGTCCTTTCCCGGTTAGCGATGATACACTGCACGGGATCCTCATCTTCGTTAGGTAATTGAAGATATTTCGGCCATCCAATTGGAAAATACATTTTAGACCTATTACCAGCTCAGTCAGAGAACAGAAATTGTCGAAGCCATTTTACGATATACCAATTAAACAATTCATTGATCGCGATCACAATTTCTCTTACACCTTTGTTAGATGTCGTGTGATTGGCTATATGACTTCTCTTCTATTAGTACTGTCCAATAAGATATAGTCTAATATTGACGTAACTGTCCCCCAAATTGTTCGTAGACTTTTCTTCCAGTTGTTCATAGCAATTGTATTTTCTATAGATCTCCCTTTTTTTCCCGTAGAGATCATTGGAAAGACGGATTATTTATTTATTTATTTTTATTCGCCAAGCTTTCAACATACAACCATGACACCAATATATAAAAGAATAACATATCAAAATTAAGTCAGCTTGAACAGGATGAACCACGAGAGCTCGAGAGCTTATTTCCAGTGGGGTCCCCGACATACAAGTTAAAATCGTATTATTTACAGACAGATAAGAAAACAAAAATTATTAATGATTATAATGATGATAATAATAATAACAACATCAAACTGATGATAGAAATGATAATAAGTACAAGAACAAAAAGAAGAAGGAGTAGAAGAAAAAGAGGAGGAGGAAGAGGAGGAGAAGGAACTGAAGAAGATAATGATGAATATGTTGAATTTCTATAACGTAAAAAAAACACGAGTATATAATTATAAAATTAAAACGTATGCACCGGCAGAATTTTTTTTTTTTTTTGTATCTGACAGGCTATTCTAATCATATAACATGTCATTCGCTTCTCTCCTCTGACTCTCAAGTGTAAGGTATTCCTTTATTTTCCTCTTAAAATGAGCAAAGTTGCTATTTCCTTTATATCATATCGTAGAACTGCCTTCTTTGGAGCAGTTCAAGGTGGCTCTTGAAACAATTTAGTTCCCTTTTCAGGAACTGTACCGCAATATAGAGCTGTATAAAACAACTCTATGCTTTACCCTCATCTAGATGCTGAACAGGCGTTGATGAGTATCAACATAGAAGTAGAAGTAGAAGTAGAAGAGAATTCCAATGTTTTATGGCAATGTAATACAACTAATTTCCAATACTCTTTCTGGTAAGTTAAAGTTGAATCGGCTATTTATTATATTATAATCATGTAGCCTAAGTCAGCAACAAGTTCGAAGTTGGATCAGAAATATTTAATGCACGTGATGCAATACGAGTTGTTTTGATCTTTGGTTGACTTCAAGAAAACCTTTAGAAAGTTCGCTGTAACGCCAACATGAATTCTTGCACCAGAACCATTGGCGTACCGGGGGGGGGGGGGGTGTTTTGGGTGTTCAAACACCCCCCCCCCCCCTGGCAGAAAGGGGGTGTTTTAGGTGTTCAAACACCCCACCCAGGGGGGGAAAGGAGTGTTCATTCCCCCTACCCCCGTGAGCCCTCCTAAAAAATAAAAATAGTGGTTACCCTGCACTCTTATTTCCACGGAGTCAAATTTCACTCTAAATGGCGTCAGCTGGGAGTCAACTCTATTCCGAGTTAAAGTGACACGGAAAAGGAGTCATCTTGACTCTGAATTGAGTCAATTCTCAGCTGATGCCACACAATCCGAGTCAAATTGATTCGGAATCCGTGTCACTTTAACTCGGAATCCGTGTCACTTTAACTCGGAATAGAGTTGACTCCCAGCTGACGCCATTTTTGACTCCGTGGAAATAAGAGTGTGGAAAACCAGATTGAAATTCATATAAAGATTAAATCATTTTAAAAAAATTTTTTTTTAATTTGAACACAGGCCGATTTTCTAGAATCTTTGATGCTACGCTTAATACACTTATAGTTCTATGATTGCTAACATAAAAATTATTCTGTTTTATCTTTCTTTCATAAATTGGATTCACTTTTGCTATTTTCGTATCCTCAGGAAAAGTACTCGTCAAGATTAGGCTTATATAAAACATTCGCACCATCTTTTGGAAATTAAGCTTGAATCATGCCTCACCCAGTACCTTTTGATACATTCAATTTACTTAACTCTTTGAAAACAAATTGTTCACTGCTTTATAATAGCTCGAAGCTCACGAATATATTGTCTGCGCTGAAAAGATCTTTGAAAAGGGGGTTTGTCTACTAATTTGGCAGCCACATTGAATTGAATTCATTCGCGATGGCCATCTTATCATGAAAAAATTCCCCATCGATTGCAATGACAGATTCTTGTTCTTTTCTCTTCTTATTTTTTAGTCCTAAGCTTTTAAGATTCTGCCAAAGCTTTTTCGAATCTTGTTTATTTTTTTCTATCTTGTTTTGTAAGTAATCGAGTTTAGCCTTTTTCACCTCTCTTTGGACCATATTTCTTAATACCCTGTATCTTTTATAGAGCGTCTCAACTTTTGCTCTTTTTTGTATACTATATTTCTCTCTTGAATTAGGGAAAGAATATCTTTAGTCACCGGATCTTTGTTTTATTCTAAATCCGTTTCAGTGGCGCCATCATATTCAACGTTGAGATAAAAACATGTCAACATAATATTGACCATGACCTGACCAATCAACAGCAGATATAGTTGAAGATTGAAAGACTCTTCTGTGTATTTTTTTTTCATGGATCTGTTATCATTAGTCCCATTCTGGGGAGGGGGCGATGTTAGTTTAGTACCACTATTTTCAAATCTCACTTTACGCAGACCTACAAAAGATTGAAAGTGGCAGATCGGGGCAGGGGGCATGAAGGAATTTGCTAAGCCCATTCCTGAATGTAGCATATACGACTATACCTTAGGGGGAGGATATCATTTTCACAACCCCCTCTTCTTGTTCTTCCTTTCCTCGATCCGTCTTAATTAGCTGTCGTGGCCAGCTTAACTGCCAGGTCCAGCTTAAACCTTAAACAAATATAGATCCTTTTTCTTGAGGGATGCCCTCCCCCAAGACGCCTTAATAGTTTTTTGCAATGTTACCTACGTCACATTATTTTGAAATAGCTGGCTAATTTCGATCCCACCAAACTATTTGAAATAACTTGTTTTGTATCGAGTTTCTCATCATTTTTTGGGGGGGTTTTGTAGCATTATTTTATTATATTCATTCAGTACAAAATATATACAAAAACAAACAAACATACAGCTTCATTGATTTACATATCATATAAAAATATAAAGAAATTGTACATCCCTCAAAAAATACATAAGATAGTTTAATACACAGTACATAATGTTTTCAAATTAATTATACTGAACGAATATTATAAATCAAAGAGTTACGCACAGACAGACAAACAGACACACCACACACGCTCACATACTCAGACACACATACAAACTTATACATATCCCCCCCCCCTTCATTTCAAAGCTCAACAATCCTCCCTCCCTTCCCGAGCATTCACATCTACACATTTGTTGGAAATCCTGTCTCTTCCTTTTCCTTAAGATCAAATTATATTTAAAAAATGTCTGAGTCTGAGAAAGAAGTATTTTCCTCGCCGTCCTTAACTGTGAAAGTTGTCCCATTTTCTGAAGTGAAGTGTTAAAGTGCCCCTCTCCCCCGCTAATTCCTTTTCTTCTTGCCTATTTTCTATAATTCTTTCTTTAATTTCTTGAGGAATTGGTGGTCTATTTTCAGTTGAACGATATTTAAAAATCATATGTTTTGTTAAAAGTATAATGTGATTTAACAATTGTTCTTCTCCCGCATTGGATCTTTTTATCCCGTTATGAATTTCTTGCCAGTGTAGATTTGTTAACATTGATAAAGCAAAAAGGTCACCGCAGTCCTTCCAAATATTTGCTACCTTTTCACAGTTAAAAAACAGATGTTAATAGGTCTCTGTTTATTGCAAAAGGAGCAAAGATTGCTCACTGCATGTTTGAAAGTGTATATATGCTTATTTGTATAAACTAAATTATATAACATTTTATATTGAAATTCCCTCAGCTTTCTGTCCAGAGTGGATTTTCGGGGTCTTAAGAAAATTGTTCTCGTGTCATTTTCGACCATATTGTATGTACGTTTTAAGTTGCATTGTAGCATAAGATTTTTCCGTTCTCATTTTTAACAATGTACTATAGATATATTTTGATGTTATGCCTTGCAAAGAGTGAGGGTTTCCGTTAACAATTAATTCTAAACTTAATTCAGTATCCTCACAAAGATGTTCATATATATTCAAAACAGTTTTCCATGAGAATGGAATGCCTTCATATAACTGTTTTGTTATATTTATTTCAATGTTGTTTTAACCCATTTTCTTAAATTCTGTGATAGAATTCAATTCACCTTTCTTATCAACAATATGATGTATTTCAAAAAAACAATTCAGAAATAAGTCTTCATGGAAATATATTTGCCCCTGACTTTATTCATGCCTGACTTTATTTGATTAATGGGGTGTATTGAACCTCTTCGCTTGTCTCTTCCTGGCTATTTATCAGCTTCTCTCTCTCTCTCTCTCTCTCCCTCTCTCTTTCTCACTCTCTCTCTCTCTCTCTCTCTCTCTCTCTCTCTCTCTCTCTCTCTCTCTCTCCCTCCCTCCCTCTCTCTCTGAGTCTCCACTTCATAGCACCCCAAGACTCTCCCAAAACAATTTAACAATTCATTGAAAGGATTTTCGAATTCATTAGCCAAGGTACGGTCTAAGCAAAACTTGATATTATGGAAGTACATGTAATAATCAAACAACTTATTTCGACATGATCGGTATGGGGAGCACCAAGAGAAATGAAATAAGCTTGAAGGCCGTGGCCTAATTCCTTCGACTACATAGGCTGAAGGTGGCTTGTGTTCGTTACAAAAATGATATCCACAACAACAAAAATTATTATATAACTCCAAAATTAGAAAAAAAAATATTATTTTCAATATCTGGCTTTCCCGTCAATTTTTTTTAATTGATTGTAAATATTTATGTTTAGAATCAGATTCTCAGACTTTATTTGGTTCTATTCACTCTCTCTCTCTCTCTCTCTCTCTCTCTCTCTCTCTCTCTCTCTCCCTCTCTCTCTCTCTCTCTCTCTCTCTCTCTCTCTTTCCCTATGCCCCTCTCCCTTCTCTAACGCATTCCTCACGAAACTTCCATTCCCAATCATTCTCCATGCACCTCCGACCGTCTCTCTTGATGTCCCTCTCCGTGTATCATTTCAAACCACAACTATTTTTTCAAACCCTCCATAAAAGGTTTCCATGTGTTTGAAACATTCAAGAAATCAAATATGAAGTCAGATAAATGAGAGTTGCAAACATGGCGAGTTGGACGGACGATAAAGTTTAATTCCATTAGGCGGGAAAAGGAGTGCAAGTATCAATTCAAGTATATTTTCAAAAGCATCTTGAATATATATCTAATGTCATCTGCACTATGATTTTAAGATTCTCTGAAAAAATAACCTAATTCATCAGCTGAATTACCTGATAGAAAAATGTTCTATTACTTTGTTCTAGATACCTTAAGTATTGCTGACATATCAACATGTATAAACATCATAGTACCATTACAATCACAGCAAAAGAACTAACACATAAGCCCATATAATAGTGTCCGTTAGGAGGCAGAAGGGCATTAACTCATATACTTATTTAACGCCTTTTGGGCTCTAAACAGACAATGGGTCCTGTCTACTTAACTATCAAAGGGCACCATAAGAGTGGAAAAGAAGCTGGCACACAGAAATAAATAAATTAATAAAAAATTTAAGTTTTAAATCTATTCAACTTGGTCTAGTAGTGATCCAAGGTTTGTGCTATTCAATATTGATGTAATATTCTTTCAATATTTGTCCCTTTTCATTACAGGCATCCAGTATTTTGGAAGTAAAATGTTATTCCTCTTGCCTATTATGGTGATGTAGTGACAAAAAACAGTGAATGGATAACTTACTAACCTACACTACTGTATTTTCATATATACAGAAGGGTATTACCAGGTTTCACAATAACCCCAATCATTATAGCTTGATATAGAAGATCCTACAGAATGCTGAAAAGGTCAAAAGATATTGATTTTTTTTCTTTCCGACTTGTAGCGATGTATTATTTTCAACATCTTCAGAAATGCATTTTATTCATGTCCGGGGTTGTTGTTGAAAATTTTACGGAAGTACTAAATAAAACTAACAAATGTTAATACATTATGAATTTCAGTAGATAGAAAAGAGTTGGAATGATCAATAATGAAATTAATTTTCCACTAATGACATATGTGATATACAATACTGTATACCAATTAAACTGTAGTAATACTGTAATACAGCACTTCAAATTACATTATATGTATCATTGCAAAAATATCTCAAATTAAAGAAAAAGAACATATAATGTATATGAACTATATATGCTTTGATATGTTTATGAGCATGATAATGAACAAATAAATTCATAAAAGATTTACAACATCATACTTCACTAACATGTTACGTTTCATTAAAAGTGTTATGAAACTTTGAAAGACCTTTGATATTGATTTGACTTACTTATTGACACCACATTTTTGACTTACTATAAGAGTGTTCTGGTATTTCAATGGCTCAGTTTATATCCCAACATCTTTTTCGGTAAGACGAGAGACTGAGATGCACATAATTAAAGCTAAACAAGATTTGTTCTGATCTACACAAAGTTGTTACTATGTATATACAAAGAAATTACATCCACCTGATTCTGGTGACAACCACTGAATACATGTATCCACACACGTAAATATTATACACGATTAAATTTACAAAGCATGATCTACATTTACGTATCAAAACACTACATGTCATTTATAATCTTACATCACACACTTAACATTAACTATACATTTTCTACATGAGCTGTACAAAAAGAGTACTATAGAGTTGTGGAAAATGGAGCAGGATTAAAGTTGTATAGAAAGAGATAATTTCAGATAATTTTTACAATGAAGATGTCAATTCTGTTCCTTCATGAGATAGACTATGTACAAATGATATGACATCTTTATTCCATGAAGGAGGAGATGATGAAAACAATCTAATTGAGAAGGACCTCTATTATTGCTTCCAAACAATTTGAGGTGTCCAAATCCTCAAATTAAAGGCAGGGTATTCTGCAAACAATACTTCAGATTTATATACTGCCATCTGCTGCTCAGACCGTCACGATGTGTCGACAGCCATATCCCAAAATGCATCACCAAATGATGATGAACCCATGATGATGCTTGGGTGCAGGAACCAGAAATTACTTGTACGCCTACACTGCAGCAGTGGTAGCAATGACAATGACATACCCTGCCTTTAATACTTTAATTTTTCATACAGAATGATAGAATATAAAACTTGATTAGCCCAAAGCCAAGAATAAAACCTTTCACCAACACCCTCAATACATTCACTTCAATATATAGTGAAATCTTTCCAATTTCACTATTTTTCTTTAGCATGTCATCAGCATTTACAGCAATCATATATATTATACACATTTGAGAAACAACCCCTTCTGTAATTTTTCATTTGGCTTATTCAATGAAAAACTACCTAGACCCTGTTTTCGCAATATTGAAATGTACATTTAAAGAAATTTTGAATGATGAAATAAAATCCTTGATTTATTATAATTATCTTATACAGCAATACAAATGGCATTGATTTACAGCACTCAAATTTAAAAACAAAATCAAATCCATGAATTATCTTGAATGGAAGGCATAACAAAAAATATAAATGAAGGCACCATCCATGGATTTATATTGTACCGGTAATAGGAATTATGTCAATCTCAATTAAATATTGAGATAGCCAAATGTCACATCACGTCTCAGTTGGATGTTGACTGAAGACTAAAAATAAATAATACAGTTTATTCCCAAGTTATAACAATGATTCAACTTGAACATGATACCATCATATGTAGTATTCTCTTTTTTTAATATCAATTAGGTATCATGTTGGAGAAATATTCAAATTATGTGTAATATGCATTAGTAAATATAATTTAAGGCAATGCTATTGTTCCGCCACTATGCCTATTATACATGCCAAGTAATGACAGCTAAATTCACATTGTATCAATTCATCAATTATGTATTATTGCCTTCAACAGCCATGGACTACACATAATAAAGGATTTAAGGCAATATAGATTTAAATAATTTCTCTGAAAGATCATTGAATCTTGCATTACTTCTGTAGAAGATCATATAAGTGACCCAGTGGCTCAAGAAAACATCAAGGTGTATGTATAAAGGTGGACCAAGTTAAACAAGGTTTAACATACTTCATTAATGTATGGAGCCCCAAAGTGTCAATTTCTTTATTTTGTACAAATAAATGCAATTGTGTATCAAACCAAGTAAATCAAATGTATACCCTGGTAGTCATGAAATGAAAGTGATATTTTTAGATTTTGCAGCACATGCTTCATGAGACATGAGAGCATGATGTTTCACCCAGATGGATGCTGAATATAAACATGATTTTGATTTTTCATTTATTGACAGTTTGTGGCAATTTTACATAATGAAGAGGTTTGAGTCTTGTATGGTTCTCAATATATCAGTGAACTAAACCTTGCCTTCTTCAACATGGAGTAAAGTTTGTATAATTCTATGAACACTGGTCCAAATAATTATAAGACAATGGACCAAATAGAATGGGAATTCTCAGAAAGTGGGAACCTCTTGCTCTTAATATAACATGATAATCAAGTTGGTTCTAACAGATTAATATCACTGGATAGTTAGGACTCTTTAGTAAAAAAATAAACTACATATAACACTGGTATATATTCCAGGGACTTATTTACGGTTTTGGGCCAGCAGATCACATATCATACCTGTCTGTGTATAAATATACTGGATTGCATCCACTTTCTTATTCATAATACACACCATAAACCATCGCTGCAGCAAATAAACTGCTGTTCCTGAATTCGTAGGACGCAGAAGTGTCATTGGATGAATCCCACAGACAGCGACTACTGACCTTTAACCCCTGGTCCTGTAACTGTCCGATGTGAACTAAGACAATGATCTTGTATCGAGGCAGCATCAGGTCTTTCACTTGAGCTTTCAAGTCCTATTAAACGAAGAATAAAGAAGGAAACATGTACATAGATTCTAATCACCAATATACCAAAATTACACTGAATTACATGATGTACAATGATAATAAAAATGAGAGCAAATGGTGATTGATATCAAATGAGAGTCACTGTGAGCTTAATAGATTCAGGTTATTGGATCTGCAGAAGTAATGCTAGGGGGTGTTTCACAAAGACTAAGATCAACTTTAAGTTGTACTTAACTATATATGGCAGGCCATTCAGGCCACTGTTTGCTCTCACCATTTACTGGCATTGGATCTCTCAAGATACATACAAATCAATTTACATTTTTTGATAATTCATTATTGAAGGAAAATATGTTATCTAAAGATCATGATGGTGAGAGCAACCAGTGGCATGAATGGCCTGCCATAGTTAAGTCCGACTTAAAATCGGTCTTAGTCTTTGTGAAACATCCCCCTCCCCAGAGTGCAACTCCCCTTCCTGTAGTTCTTTAATGCAACCGTGAGGGCATTATAAATCACAATGATTTTCAAATCCCCTATCCCGGAGGTCCAATTTTATCTTCAAGGTTCGGGATGAGAAATTGGTGAAATTGCACTTTGCTTATTATATTGCATGTACTGAAACCATCATAAGTACCAGTTCACAGACATCCCATTGAAATGCATGTTAAATTTATTACACACATTTCAACAAGACATTGGTGAACATGTACTTGTGACGGTTCATGAAACACTGCCCTGGACAATAAAAAATATGGTGCCTGATCATGTTCCACATGATAGAATGTATATAATCAGCAGCTAATAAAAGCTTTATTAAAGGGATCCGGTAACTTTGTCTCAGATTCTGAAACAAAATTCTGGATTTAGCTCATGATGCAATGATAATTATAAACATTTAGGTCAGTCAGGAACCCCATTACTTTTACAAGCCGATCGCCTGTCTGATTATCAAGATATTTATGATTGGAATTACAAATTTTGAAAAACGTTCGCCTGACGGTTTTCATAACACTACAGTCTATTGGGGAAAACGAGTATGGTAAAAACCGGTCACTCAAAGATTTTTACTTTTTTGAGGCACTTCTTGATCATTTTGAAGCGCAATTTTTTTAGGGCTTCAATATTACACCATATCACAGACACTGATAACATGTAGGGCCGTGTATCTCAGATTTAACATTGTTAAACGATCCCTTTAAGGAGTGTGTACCATGTTTCTTTCCCTGCTAACTTACATCTGAAATAGTCTTGGTCATCTTTTTACACCACTCCGGCTCGTATCTCTTATCCTGCAAGTAGCCCTCCATCGTCTCTTTGAGCATACTCTTCACGGTTGTGACAGGGAACTTCTTGACTGGTCCGAGCTGATAGGTAGGCTCTAATCTTACCGGTCCATGTCTTGAGCTATCATGAGGCTCATCGATGAATGATACTGTGCTGACAGACCTGCAGGAACATACACAGAGATAAGCAAATGATGATAACAATAATAATGATGATGATTTGAGAATAATAATAAGAACAACATCAATTATTATCATTATTATAACAATAACAATAGTAATCATTATTATCATCATCATCATAAAAGACAATAACACAATACTGTATTGGTTATCAAAACATATTCAAAACACAATCACCAATTTATTCTACCAACTACTAAGAGAGCAATTACATACATGCTTGTCGACAAGCTCTGGATAAACTTAGCAATTTCCCAAGCCCCTCTTTTATTAAACATCCCTCCCCCTTGCAACCCAACATTTGTTACTCTGGCTACTGGAGTTGTTGTGGTCTAGGGGATACTCTTTGGACTGTGGATCACAGGGTTCACAGTTCGAGTCCCGCCACAGCACTTATATCCTTTGGCAAGACATAAATCTACATTTCCCAATGCCCACCCAGGTGTTAAATGGGCAACCGTTGGAAGGAATTCCTTGAATGCAGTGAGCACCAATATCGGTAGCCTAGCAGAGCCAGGGTAATATGAGAGGGTCTTCGATGGGCATCTTTTGGTTGGATATGTGCGCTATAAAAATATCCAATATTATTATTATTATTATAACTTAATTGGAACACCTACCCAGCAGGTTTGATCCTGGCACCAAATTCACTGCCACTCATGAGTGAGGATGCGCTGCCATGGCGTTTCAACAGCTTGGCTGCCTTCGAACGAGCTACATCCTGTTTGTCTGAAGACATCTTTGGGGTCCGGTATCTGTCAAGTTCTGGTGAACAACTATGCCCTGATTCCCTATTGTTGATCCTTATGCCATGCACACCTCTTCTTAGATATCTAGACATCAAAAAGAGCAATGAGAAATGTAACTATTATTAACATCAATGCTGCTTTCGTTCAACTATCGATATGTATATGTGTTCAATGCGATCGGCACTGTGATATTATCAATGTATGTGCTTGAGCCTATCCATGATGGACGTGAATGGCAGTGCTGGAATAAAGTTTTAGACTGACAATTATTCCATTGTGGATTGAGAAATGTTTTGGTATCTAGAAGTTGGTTTATTCCAACACCCACTAACAACATGGTGGAAGCGGTGGGATGTCATCAAAATGAGTGTTGCTCATAATAATAATAATAATCATAATAATCATAAAAATAATATTAATGATAATAATAATAACAATAATAATAATAGTAATGATAAAAAAGAAGAAGAAGAAGACTGAGAAGAATGAGAAGAAAAAGAGGAAGAAGAAGAAGAAGAAGAAGAAGAAGAAGAAGAAGAAGAAGAAGAAGAAGAAGAAGAAGAAGAAGAAGAAGAAGAAGAAGAAGAAGAAGAAGAAGAAGAAGAAGACTGAGAAGAATGAGAAAAATGAGAAGAAGAAGAAGAAGAAGAAGAAGAAAGAAGAAGAAGAAGAAGAAGAAGAAGAAGAAGAGGAAGAAGAAGTATAAGAAGAAGAAGAGGAAGAGGAACAAGAAGAAGAAGAGAAAAGGGAACAAGAAGAAGAAGAAGAAGAAGAAGAAGAAGAAGAGGAAGAGGAAGAGGAAGAACAAGAACAAGAACAAGAAGAACAAAAACAAGAAGAAGAAAAAGAAGAGGCACGAGAAGGAGAAGAAGAAGAACAACAACAACAACACCAACAAGAAGAAATCAAACAAGAAGAAGAACAAGAAGAAGAGGAACAAGAAGAAGAAAAAGAAGAGGAACAAGAAGGAGAAGAAAAAGAATTACAATCATAAGATAACAAAACATTAATCTATAAGGTCAAAATCATGTACACCTAAAAATATAATTTGGAACCACATATCAAATACATGTCAACCCTTTGCTTAAAATGGGAATTAGATGGTTCCTATTTATAGATCTTGTATCCTCTGTGAGTGGCAGAATTGAGTAGTCAGCTGGTCAACTGGTTTAAATATACAGACAAATGAAAAACTGCACAAGATAAACACTTTCTAATAGCACCCAATGTCATGTTTTTACAGACAGATTTGTTCTAAGCCTACCATACTTCTCACAAACATACTCTCATTTACATTTACGTACCTCTCACCAACAGGCAACACAGACTAGACCTGACATGAATTTATAGGATCTTCATGTACTTGTTCTATGCAGTACTTAGTTTCAGATTCAGAATACCATCCTGGCATCCAATTATTAACATAAAGAGTGTGACGGTTATCTATACAAGACTGATCAAGAAAAGCCCAAACCAAGATGAATGATAACATGCTACGTTAATAGATCTCTCAATACACTGACGATGTCTCTGAGCGCTTTACAGATGTTTTATTACCCAGCTAGGCCATCAGATTCAGGCTTGCCCGCACACAATGCAGCATATGCACACTCTCCACTCCCTGGGGAGCATTTCAGCCAGGTGCCATTTTCCAGATGCTCACCATGCTGAACATACTACATTAACATTGGCATATTCCTACCACCAGTGACCCATTTAACACCTGGGTGGAGAGGGGCAAATGTAGGTTAACATCTTGCCAAATGACGTTAGTGTTCGGCTGGGATTTGAACCTGTACCTTGTTATCTACAGTCCGGTGACTTATGCAGGCGCGGATCCACGAACCCATTTCTATCGGCCCGGCTATGGCAACCCCTTTGTGTAAAAACTAGATAAACTCAGTTTATCAGAAAAACTGTGTTTATCAATGATAAACTCAGTTTATCAACTGATAAACTGAGTTTTTCTGATAAACTGTGTTTATCTGTTGATAAACTGAGTTTATCTGAGAAAAACAGAGTTTATCTGAGAAAAACAGAGTTTATCTAGTTTTTACACAAAGGGGTTGCCATAGCCGGGCCGATATAAATGGGTTCCTGGATCCGCGCCTGGACTTATGATAATCCACAATAAACCACAACACCTCTATAATCAGAATTATTGCATATCCGTTTGAATGAAAGAGCAGGGGAAAAAATAGTATAAAATATCACTACTGGAAAGGTATATGCATCCATGATTTATTACTAATAATAGTATACGAAAATTAAACATGTTTATATAGTTACAAAGGGTATATATCAAAATAATGAGCGGGTCGAGGAAGAAGAAGATAAATATTCATCACCTAATTCTGCGTATCAATTCTTTCTACAACTTCAACAACATATGACTTTGGTATTACAATCCATAAGTATTTTGATTTACATGATATCCTTATAGTGGCAATGAAAATGACTAAATTCGAACCTAAGAATGCAACTCAATCATGATATGTCCAGACCCAACGGCACACTGTATAAATATATACGGTCTCCAGCTCACTCTATCTCGCTTACGTAGGCCTATGCCTGGCTATGCCATATCTCGTATCTTTATTAATGACAACTAGCTGATGGTGTTGATCACCAACAAGGAAACCTCTTTAAAAAGAACAAGCACTACAAGTTACATCATTCAGTGGCTCATATTCACACAAAATATATTAATAAAACTAATTAACTTACGAATACAGGGCCGTGTCTAGTAATGTGTGACGATTGTAATTCTTCCTTCACACGATTCACAACAGGTGCGCTTCGCCAATCGCTAGGAAACCGCATACGCTCGTCGTACCGGATTATTTTCTGTACACTGAAGCCCCGCCTACTCCTTGAATTTGGTAGGCTTATAACCAAGAGTTTTTTGGAATCGCGGTTGGCGCCTTGAAATCTTTCACATACACTGCCTGGATACACTGTTACTAATATTCCAAAAATGGAGTGGGCCGGGGGGGGGGGGGGGGGAGGGGCTGGGAGAGGGGATAATATCACATCATATTCCATCCTCCTGCAAAGCCCCTACCTACCATGTCGTAGCTTCAAGTATCATTCATTTTCAATTCCAATTAATCCAAATCAAATACAATATACAAGTATAGGAAAATACTTGAAATTTTAAATATGGTTACTTACATCAAGAGAAATATATATCATCTTCAAAAAGAGAATTAGACTACCAAAACATCTTGAACAGTAAAAACGAGCTGCAAGTTAATGATGACTGGAATCGATGATTGATCTGCATTAAAACTCCCCTCCCCTTTGGTATCCGTCTCTCTCTCTCTCTCTCTTTCTCTCCCTTTCTCTCTATCCCTCTCTGTCTCCCATCTTCCCTCCCTTTCCTATCTCCATGGGTGTCGATCCCGGGGGGGGGATGGGGGGGGGGGGGGGATATAGGGGGTTGCCTGTACAATCATCCCCCCTCCCCAATAATTCACCATGAAAAAACCAAAAAAATTAAGAGAAAAATTAATGAGAGCCCGATGAGAGTAGTTAATGGTTATACTCGCAAGATGAACATCAATATACACATTTTGCTATATCTCATTTTCATAATATATACATGTATACGAAGTAAATGAGACAACCGTATATGAGACAAGAATAAATTGAATTCTCGCTCATACGGCTTCATCAGGAATTGATGAATTTATTCAATTTGTTCAATCAACAGCATCATAGAAATGCAGTGCGCCAAATGCATAGACGCATCGTCAAAAAGCAACGAGCTATAAGGTAGCAATCTGCTAAGCACATCAGACAATCCTGGACAGTGTAAACATAGATGAACTCTGTGATGAATTCGTGATGAGATCGGAGACAAGGTGAAAGATTTTCGGACATTAGTATGACTTATAAAATAGTTCACTAGTTGTTATGTTGTTTCCGTTCACCCTTTTTAAAATTCACGTCATTATATCTTTATTTTTATTTCTTTCACTCATTTTATTTCCTGATATTTTCTAAAACATTTTTCATTTTTGGAGAAAGATTATTATTTCACAACTTATTTCTGTTTTATTAAAAAGTAGGCCTATCTCACTGGCGTACTGGTGGGGGGGGGGGGGCTTGGGGCGCTAGCCCCCCCCCCCCCCAATAAAATCCACCATGACTTATTTTCAATTTCAAACAAGTGATTTATAAATGTTCGTGATATCACATGATTTTCAACAAAATTCGCGTTTCTCCATTTCTGTTGCAAACTGACACATTCCCAAATAGCCAGAAAGAGCATATTGTATAGTCACTAATGGGCCTAATTAGTGGCCGTTAACACTAACAGTAGTATACAATTCCTTTCGAGAAGCTATTGCGACAAGCACTGCCGGGATATAACATGCTACCCACCACTCGGGCTGTGCATGCAAAGATTTGCGAACGAACGTTCCATACGTTTACGTACATCATGTGGGGAAACTGAATTATGAATTAATATAGAGAACAGTACAACGAATCGTCTTCTTTCTCTAATAATTTAGTAAAAAGGGCAAAGCTTCCGCGCTTTCCGCGCTTTGCGCAGGTTGAAGGGGGGCAACTGAATTCAGACTAGGATTAAGAGTTATAATTAAATGAAACGTCAAAGTACACGATACAACGAATCGTCTTCTATTACTAATAATTTAATGAAAGGTAAAAGCTTCCGCGCTACGCGCGGGATGGGAGAAAATGATTTCAGACGTGGATTAAGAGTAATAATCAAATGAAACGTCAAAGCTTCCGCGCTTCGCGCGGAGGAAGGGGAACTTGATTCAAACAAGGATTAAGAGTCGAGAATGGTACATCGAATCTTGTTCTTTCTTTAATAATCAAATGAAACGTCAGAGCTTCCGCGCTTCGCGCGGAGGAAGGGGAACTTGATTCAAACAAGGATTAAGAGTCGAGAATGGTACATCGAATCTTCTTTTTTCTTTATTAATTTAGTGAAACGTCAAAGCTTCTGTGCTTTGCGGGGGAGGGGGGAACTCCCGCTCCCTGCACCCAACCCCCTAGGGAGCTCGCTTCGCACGTTTCGCGTGCTCACTACCGCCCCCCCCCCCCAAAATGAAATTCTGGCTACGCGATTGGGAGAGGGTGCAACTTGCCACACGCTTCTACCTCTTGGTTGCTTTGATCCATTGCCAAAAATATTTTGACACCTATCATCCCCCCCCCCCCCCCCAACCACGGATACAAATCGACACCCTTGTCTATTATCCATCCTTCCCTCACTCCTTCCCACCCTTCCTCCCCCTCCCTTTTTCTCATTCCTATTTATGTTTCCATCTTTCTTCAGAGAGAGAGGGAGGGAGAGAGAGAGAGAGAGAGAGAGAGAGAGATAGCCGAAAATAGACAAGGGAAGAGAACCAAATACACCCATATCTTGGGCGAGAAAAACCAAAAATAGCCAATTCGGCCAGCTTTGATAATCATTGTTGGTGTTGATGTTAGTGAAAGCATAATGTCCATGGATATATATTTGTTTAAAGTGGCTTATGCCGGCGTCATGGGGAAAAAGGCAAAAGACAAAAAATATCCGGGAGTCATGGGGAAGGTTATTTCTAAAAAAATAAAACAATCAGGAAAGAAAGGAAGAAGGAATAAAAAAGGAAGAGGGAAAAAATAGAATAAAAAGGGTCTTGCGGTCATTTTTCTACCTCTTTCTTTCCTTCTACTTTTTCTTCTGTACTATTTTTCCCCATTTCTTGTCCTTTCATATTTTTTTTTAGGGCGTGGACTCCTTTTATTTGGGGGGGGGGGGGGGGGGGAGCAGCTACTGCTCAGTGGCCCGACAGCGTAGCGGTATTTACCCGATTGCATTTGTGCCCTAATCCTAAAGATTTTAATTTTTATTCATATCCTATTGGTTTTAAAAGTGGTATTGTGTTTAATCCCCATTTCCAAGCTTAATTTTGAACCGTCTTGAAGTTGTTTTCCTCTTGCCTTGAAAATAATGATGAATATGTTGAATTTCTAAAACGTACAAAAACACAAGTACATACAAAATTAAAAAGTATAAACCTGGCAGAGAAAAAAAAGTGTTCTGTATGCAGGCTTTTTCTATCATTATAACACTCACTCATTCGCTTCTCTCCTCTGACTCTCATAGTTTGAGAAGACTGGGCATTACCTTCATACCCACTCAGGGTGTCGGGTCTATAGTGTCTATGGTCTATCATAATTCTGTCGATTAGTTATGCATGCATGTTCCCAATTTCCCAATTATTATGAAAAAATATAATGTTACAAATCATTTCAATTTTACAATCCATTTGAATTGACTTCACGTTAAAAAGGATATAACAATGTTTTTTTTCAAAGACAAGTTGCAAATTATATACAGTTTAAAGAATGAACACACAAAGCACTTTAAAGCTTGAATCGTTACAACACCTTTCATATAGGCCTATACAGTATAATATATGACAAATAAAATTCCTAAAGGGTTGTAGTGAACTGTTTTCACTATTTACAAAGAACAAGAAGAAGAAAAAACCAGAAGTATATTATGTTCGATGTAATGAGAACTGACATATAGATTATTATGTAAGTAATATCTTACATCTGTGAATTGATAATACGGTAATTTAAGTGCTCTTTTAAAGGAGCTTGGTGATTTTATATTTTATATCAAACGTTATATTTTATTTTATATTTCATATTTTATATGTTGTACTTTATATGAGGGGATAACACATCCTTAAGTTTCCTCAGGAAGGAAGGGGGAACCCCCCTTTTATTATTACTATTTTTTTCATCCTGAAACCAATATAACCCTTGTGTAGGCTTACTAATACCCAGGAGGGAAATCGAATCAATATAATTTTTCAAGGATGGAAAGAGGGTCATTTCTTATATGCAAGGTTTAGATCTAGATCTATAGACTCAGAAGCGGATCTAGAGGGGGGGGGGGGGGGGGGGGGGGGGGGTTGGGGGGGTTGCAACCCCCCCCCAAAAAAAAAAAAATCCGGGGACCATTTTTTTAAATCTTATCTTTTTTTTTAAACTTGTAATTTTATTTTATTCTATTTCTATGTATTTATTTCATTTATTATTATTATTATTATTATTATTATTATTATTATTATTATTATTATTATTATTATTATTATTATTATTATTATTATTATTTCTTTTTTGGGGGAGGGGGGGGGGGGGGTTGGGCGAACAAATGTCACACAGTCCCTTGCCCCCCCCCCCATCAGCCAGGCGCGGATCTACGGGGGGGGGGGTAGGGGGTTTAAACCCCCCCCTTGGGCGGCCCAAAAAACAAACAAACAAAAAAAAGGGGAAAAAAAAAAAAAAAAAAAAAAGAAAAAAAAAAAAAAAAGGAACCCACGCTGGAGAGAAACCCTTTCAAGTGCAAATATTGTGAGAAGATATTCAACTCATCTGGTAACTTAACCAAACACATGATAACTCTGGATATAACTGTGTATTTAACTGTTACTTGATTTAAAAAGACGTTATCATGCACTGCTTTTTATGGTCTCCATTGTGCTAATAGATGCCAGGAAAACATCACTTACGGGGTTCAAATAAACACCCCAAAAAAAATCGGATCGCCGCTTCGCGGCTCGTGGACGATGCTCCGCATCGTCATTATTGGTCAACCCCCCCCCCCTTAGCAAAAAGCTAGATCCGCCCCTGAGACTATATGAACTTATGAAGTGTCTTATTCATAATTTTTTAGAAAAAAAGAAAACACTTTTAGTTTTCCGCAAACCTCAAATCTGTGAGGTAGGATTTTAATTGAACACTTGAAGCGATACTGCCGCACCCTCCCTGGTGTTTTTTTTAAGGGGGGGGGGGGGGGGGGAGGAGCAGATATATTTTAAGCACTATTAAATATGTATGCACGCGCGGTGTTCCATATCCACAGATATATGGGGTACCCACTGATCTACAAGTAGAACGTCAAATTAAATCTTTCACGTCAAATTTTATCTTTCATATCTCAGGTAATATACTTTTTTGAAGTTTTTTCTATGTCTGTTAAATATTAATTCTTATATTATTATTTCATGTAAACCTATACGTACTGGAAGAGTTTATAACTATATTAAATAGAAGGAAAAGGTATAACAATTAAACAGCGGACGTAGACGGAGTTGACATGCCTCGTCTGCAGACCACAGGTCAGCATCGGTGCGCGAGCGCTTACCGGTACCCGTTTGTGCCCCGCTTGAACAGTTGAAACGGTCAGAGACAGAGTGCCCATGTCTTCGAATACGCGATTTTAACAAAACGAAAAACACAACGAACACGAAATAGATCTATTCATATCTATTTTAGTGATACGTTATCATAACAAAATGAAAAATAAAAAGGAGATCTAGGGGTCTAGATATATCTAGACGGTAGACCCATATAAATTTTAAGTAATTTAGACTAGTCTATTCACATGCCACTTTCTTGGTCTTGGTGACTTGCATGCAATTTTTTTTTAACTGCCTGAATGATGCACACGTCGCACATAGAACCCTAGACTAGCAGCATTAATTACAACTGATTTCACTAAAAATCGGTACTTTAGTGACAATTGATGACGCCCAAAAGGCAGTAAAACACTATTATTTCAACTTACCGATGTAAGAAAGAATAGTCTAGACCTAATTTGAAAATTCAATTTGAAAAAAACTGTGCGCCATCTACACGTTCGTAATGGCGTTATCAGAGTTTTTCCTTCATAATCATTTTTGCCTTCGGCGTAGACTAGAAGGGATGAGATTGAAGATGGAAAGAAGATGGAAAGAAGATGGAAAGAGAAAGAATCCTAAAAATAGTCATTTATGACATGAAATTGTACATATAGGGTCTATGTATATATATAAATAATTCATAAAATAGTGTGTGGCAAAAATAGTCAACTGTGACTGATTGCCAAACAAAAACAAATCAAGAAGAAGAAGAAGACGGCAGCGAGAGTTTAACACGGCTTGCAAGATTTTCAACATGGATGTCGATTTTGACCCATAATTTCCTTAAAAGGGACCATTAAACGGATTATTTCAATCAAGTTAGTAAGTAGAACCGATGTATTATAGCCTAGGCCTAATATAAAATTGGATATGCACGAGGTAAAATGACATTTTGGGGGATTTTGGGGGCATAACAATACGGCCGTGGCAAGTTTGTTCATGTTTGTGGGAGGGGCCTAACGGCTAAAATCTAGCCGTGATATCTTCAACATAGGCTGGCATAGGCGATCGTTCAGTCTCTATAACCGGAGGTCTAGTGGAGCCAGACGTAGTCTCAGTGGAACAACCGACGGTATAGAGACTGAAGCTTTCGGTCTATGGCTCTCTATGCTTTGGGTATGATGGGGCCTGGGAGGGGGGGGGGGGGGTTGTGGGTGTCTTGACGCTTAACAATAGTAATCCGGTCACTTTTGCCTTAGTAACTAAAACTATGCATCCGATATCTCAAGCAATCATATTTCATCATTATCCTTTTTCTTAATGATAATTGAGAGCTGATTTGATGAGATAACCACATGTCAGTGACCATGCAGAGTGGTCTAATCCCTCTTGGCCAAAATAGTTCAGATGGGCTTTTAATGAATGTATATATCTTGGTGAGAAGTTTACCTGATTTGTAACTAATGATAATTTCACGAATAATAAAGGAAAATTACTACCAGTAATTCTTTTTGGCAAACCTTAATGAGATTCTCATTGGTCAGTCACATCAGAAATTTGCTGCATTGGACGTGCCAGAGTCATACATGGGAACCTTTGCTTTTGTAATGTCAAGATGACATCCATGCCCGTTCTTGTGAAAAGTGATAGAAAATTCTATAATATTGGTAATAATAAAGATAGCCTTTCAGAGTGCAATAACTCTTTGAGAATGGAAATTATATAAGTTTCTAAACTTTGAGTCCGGCTAATTGAAACCATATACAGTTTTCTTGGATGATGGTCTTTCCTTATATTGTTGTAGATATGATGAAATGATTCCCCGGGCTAGAAATCAATTGATCAAATCACTTTACAGGAGATGTATGCAGGTTGTAATCGTGCATGAAAACTCATTTGTCAAATTATTAACTTAGACAATACCTTTTGTATATTAACATATTTGAGTCCATACTTAGTCCAGGATACATTCTTACTGATGACGTAATTCTGTGCCTGAATTTCTTACAGAGCTACACAGACACTGGATGTCAGATGTCCGATAGAGGGGAAGGAGGACCAGGCGGGTATGGCTATTATGGAAGAGGTAGAGGTAGAGGGCGTGGTGGAGGTGGAAGAGGAGGAAGAGGAGGAGGAAGAGGAGGAGGAAGGGGAGGAGGAGGTGGAAGAGGAGGAGGAAGAGGAGGAGGTGGAAGAGGAGGAGGAGGAAGAGGAGGGCCACCACCAGGTCTGACAGGCAGAGACATTGGGATGTGGTATGCACAGCGAGGTCGGGGCAAGAAGAAAGATCAAGAGCTTAGAGAGGTAAAGATGAGGTGTTTATACTTACATTTAACTTGTTGAGATACTGAACTAGAGTTAGAGTCCGTGAAAAAGAAATCAATCCAACAGGTTTAATATTGTACTCTTTGTATTATTAGGCTTTCTTCATTCAATTAAAAAAGATTCTTATGTGCAAATAAGAGAGTTACCAACATTATCCATGATTTCTATTTGAGAATTACATTACTCAGTCTTCGTATGTTTTTTCTTTATTTGGTATTTAACATTAACTTATTTCCGACCATTGTGGATTAATTCTTTAATTGTAGACGTGAGTACCAGTATGTTTGTAAGTAGTATTAAAATAGTAAATAGTGACCAGTGTATAAGTGTACACCTATTGGCTTTGGATGTCATGAATTTGCTGTTATTTTATTTGTATGTGTTGAATAGAGAGGAAGTGTGAACCTGAATGATGAACAGGAGAGGCAGATCAAACGCATGCTCCATGAGGTAGAGGGTCTCCGAGAAAATCAACCTCAATCAAATGCTCAGCAGCAACCTAAAGGTATTTAACCCATTCAATGCTACAGGCAGTTCATCTGCCCAATTGATTGTGTGTAAACTCAAACCTACTTTATTGATCAAAGGTATAGAAAGACCACCTGGCTGTAATGACTATATTTAAAGACTACTTTTAAAGACTATGACTGATATTTGAACAGTGTTTCCCATATCAATTTGTATCAAAGGGGACCTGTTGAGTTAAAATATTTCTATGCAAAGATTACTTTTTGATTGTCCCTTGAGCAGTCTGTAAACAGGTTTCACTGCAATATTTTGGCAAAGAAAAGCTTGTCTTAGATTTGCACAGACTAAGTTTGTACCCTTCTCACTTTTGAGTTTATCTTTCTTTTTTTAATTGGAAGTCATGCGACCAGCAGAGGTTGTATGTCAGAACTTCTATGGACATCAACTGATGCAGGATCCAAATCTAGACATTCATCTCCAAGAAGAACTGACCAAGAAAGAGAACAGCGAGCAGTATCAAAAGATGCAGACTTTTAGACGAAAACTTCCCTCATTTGCCATGAAAGATGTGAGTACATTGCTATATTTGAGTGTTGCTTATAAATGCTGTAATCAGTAGTAGTGGTAGTAGTAGCAGCAATAGTAGTAGTAGTGATAGTAGTAGTTGTAGTAATAGAAGTAGTAGTAGAAGAAGTAGTAATAGTAGTAGTAGCAGTAGTAGTAGATATTTTCTTCTACCAAAGTGTTCCCCCTTTGGGTCTCCTGTAACTCTTTCTACTTCTGTTGTCATCTACCTATCACCTCCTATTTTCTTTCTTTTTTTATTTCAATTTACCCCTCTAATGTCTTCCTGCAGGAGCTGCTGTCTCTTATCAGAAGCAACCAGGTTGTCGTGATCAGCGGAGAGACAGGATGCGGTAAGACTACTCAGGTTCCTCAGTTCATCCTGGATGATTACATCAGCAGAGGTCAAGGGTCAACGTGTCGTGTCGTCTGCACGCAACCAAGAAGGATAAGTGCAATTACAGTAAGTTGGTTTTCTATTAGCACATAGAGCTGTATTGATACTAATCACTATTGCATGCAGACTTTTATATTCAGTGTAATAATTTGTTTGTCTCGCCTGCATAGCAAAAGCGAGACATAGGCACCGCTTTGCCTAGGGCGGCGGCAACATCAACAACTTATTAAACCAAGTTTAGTTTTTGAATTTTTAATATTATTTTGAAAGTATAAGTACTTATTCAATGAAACTTAAACTAAAGGGTTATCAAGTTTCCCCAATCATGTAGTAGAATTTCAAGTCATAAGTTAAGGTCAAAGGTCATTTCAGGTCAATAAACTTAGACTACATTGTGGCATCAACATCAAAACTTAACCAAAGGTTAAGATTTTGAATTTTTATCATAATTTTGAAATCATACATTCCTATTCCATGAAACTTGAACGTAAGGGTTATCAAGTATCACCAATCATGTGATTAGTTTTTTAGGTGACAAAATCAAGGTCTAATGTCATTTCAGGTCTGCAAGTTTACTTAAACTATGTTGTTGCATCATTATCAAGATTTTGAATTTTTAGCATAATTTCAAAAATGATTATTCAAATTCCATGAAACTTCTACCCAAGGGTTATCAAGTATCACAAATCATATGGCACAAATTCCATGTCACAAATTCCAGTTCAAAGGGATTTTAGGTCAGTAGACTTGGATTATGTTTTCCTAACTTGATATGAGAATTATTAAATCAATTTTTGTTATTTGTTCATATTTCATTAAAGTTATCAATCTTGGTAAAATTATAGTTAATAATTCTTCTGATGATTCTTAATCAATATTTACTGCTGATAAAATGCTGATTATATTCAGAGGATTTAATTTTTGGAGGCCTGCTAATAGGCCACCCTGCCTATAAATAATGTCCCAACCTCAACTTTTCACCGTATTGAATTGCGTAATGCAGGCAAGACCGCTGAGAGCGTTTCCCTTGCTTAATTATCTCGTAGTAAGATAATAATTCATGGAAACGTGTCCATATCTTTATCAATGATGTAAATAGCACAATGTTCTCTCAAGTCATGTTGTTTATTGTCTGTTATGCTCAGAAAGACCTATTGAATTGATAAAAACTAATAACACTTGAAATGTTTACCAAACATGGGCTTTCACTAGTTCTTGAAGGGCCATCAGATGTGAATGTAGTAAACTTCACATTTTTCAGTAACTTGTTCTACAACTTTTCAGCAACTAAGAGAAAGGACCTACATGCATCTTGGGTATGTTTCTTGGAGATGTTCTGCATCAAACAGAAGATGATAAGCTAGTATGGGCAGTTTTGTGGGTGATGAACCTGGCAGATACCAATATACTCTGGACACTGCAGATGAAGAGTTGTATTATTTAAAGAGCACTGTGGAACACTGTTGAAGGGTCTTGACTCTCATATCAGAGGTCCTGTCTATCCTTGCTCAGTGCTCGCATCTTTGAATAAGGAGTATTACCGGCATCTACCCCTCTTGACCAAGGTGTATTGGGCACCTAGCAGTGCTGGGGGGTATTTCACAAAGACTAAGATCAACATTAAGTTGGACTTAACTATGGCAGGCCGTTCATGCCACTGTTTGCTCTCACCCTTTACTGGCATTGGTCTTTCAATTGACGTACAAATCATGGTCACAAATCTAAAGAATTTACATTCTTTTACGTTCATTATTGAAGAAAAAAATATTATTTAATGATCATAATGGTGAGAGCAAACAGTGGCATGAATGGCCTGCCATAGTTAAGTCCAACTTAATGTTGATCTTAGTCTTTGTGAAACACTCCCCTGGGGTAATAATAGTTACAGGACCCACAGCAAGAGCAGTATTAATACCGATAAAGCCGCCCTGAGTAAAAAAAACCCACATTATTCTGTTATTATCTTGATATATTTCTCTACTTGCCAGGTTGCAGAGAGAGTTGCAGCAGAGAGAGCTGAGAGGTGTGGTCATGAGAACAGCGTGGGTTATCAGATTCGATTGGAGAATACTTTCCCACGTGCTCAGGGGTGTATCCTCTACTGTACCACAGGAATACTCCTCAAGTGGCTCGAGGGGGACAAGTTAGTACCCTCTTGTTATTCCCTGAGCTCCGTCTTTTAAAATGTTATGATGAATCTGGATGAACACTTGTCTTTCGTCAAAGTCCTTCACTACTAGCATTGCCATTCTTATTTTAACAGAGAAATGACAACAAGATTTTGATGATTTTTCCTCTTTTTTTTCTTCTTTATCTGAGAGCCAGAATGCACCCTTCAAGCTTTCACCAGACAAGTAGATAGTCTTGCAGAACCCCATATTTGGAAATATAATACATGTACATGGAGGAGCAATATTAAAAGTGTTCACTGTAGTTGAATTATTTGTAACTTAAAAGCTTAATGGCCCGAATTCACAAAGGAGATTTAGATTTAACCCATGGTTTAGATCTTCATACATAGCCCATGGTCTAAAGTTAGCGCAGAATAAGCCAACACAGCCAGTGGTCCAATATTAGATGCGCACAAGGCACGGTACGCTTATTTTGCACTAATTTTTAAGCCATGGGTTATGTGAATGAGGGTTTAAACCATGGGTTAAACCTCCTTTGTGAATTCGGACCTAAGACTTTTTAAAGAGATCCGGTAACTTTGCCTCGGATTCTGAAACAAATTTCTGGATTTAGCTCATGCTGCAATGATAATTATAAACCTTTAAGTCAGTCAGGAACCCAGGACTTTTACAAGCCGATCGCCTGTTTGATTATCAAGATATTTATGATTGGAATTACAAATTTTGAAAACCGTTTGCTAAAAGGTTTTCATAACACTACAGTCTATTGGGGAAAACGAGTATGGTAAAACCGGTCACTCAAAGATTTTTGCCTTTTGGAGGCACTTCTTGATCATTTTTTAGGGCTTCAATATTACACCATATCACAGACACTGATAACACCTAGGGCCGTGTATCACAGATTTAACATTGTTAAACGATCCCTTTAACATACTTGAAAGGTTTACGCAAAATAACTATCATATCGTGTGTTGTGCAAAATTTGGTCAAAATTGTAAATATTCAATTTTTTTGTAAGGTTAATCAGGAAATTTGTCATGTTTACCTAAATAATTTCGGAATGAGATGTTTTACTTTTTTTGTTTGATTTTTGGTCTTACTGCACATAAAAACGTTCAACAGATTTTCAATTATTCAATTGGGATGATGTTACAAATTACATTTATTGCTAAATTTTATCAATTTCTTGTTCAGAGAAGATATTAAATTATTACTGTCACAATATAACCCTCCCTGAGCAGTTTTGTTCCCTTTTTATTCTCTTTCTAATTCTCCTCATCACAGATTACTGAACAGTGTCAGCCATGTTGTATTAGATGAGGTCCACGAGAGAGATCTCCTGTCTGACTTTCTTCTCATCATCCTTAAAGATCTCCTCCCAAAGAGGTATAAAGACTACAATGTGAGGTCTTTTTTAACTCACTCCATGCCAATTTCACCCAAGAATTTGAAAGTTGAACAATGTGTTTTGACTAGGAAATACATATAGAAACAGAAACCATAACCTGTAACTTTCAATTTCTTTTTTCTCTTTCTCTCTTTCTCTCTTTCTCTCTGTCTCTCTCTTCCACCTCTAGCCGAACATTTTGTATTTTGTATAATTTGTTTATTTGTCTCAGGCTAGTGTTTGTGTTTTGTGTTTTTCTGTTTATTAAGTCAGCAGTTTAAGTCAGTGAACCTACATGTGACAAGCCCAGCACCAGCATATACTTTTTTTTAATTTCTGTATTTAACATGGTATTAAATAATATGATTGAGGATTATTTATTTCTATATTACTTAAAGAAATGTTAATGTTTTACAAAAATGTATTAAGCTTTGTAAAGTTTGCAAATGAATAAAAGCAAATCAATAGATTTGAAGTTATGACCCGTATTGGATATGCTGCTATCAATTAAACAAAGCATATAAAGTAAAAATCTCTCTCTTCCAAGCTTCTATTTTTTGACAATTATTCCAATGTGCTGGTCCAGAGGGAGGTGGTTATTTAGTGGAATAGACTATGAATTAAGGAGCCAGCTCATGAAGATAGTTCAGTGTACCTTTCCCATACCTGGCTTCCTGAACATAATGAAAATGTTAATGACACCAGTATTAAGCGCCTTATAAATATTGTTTATTATTATTATTATTATTAATGAACATAGGCCACAACGCACATATCTGGGCCGCTTTTCAAGAAACCATCATAGTTACTAATTCGCCAACAACAACCAATTATTATGCATGCATTAAAGTTAACACGCAAGTGAATAGGATGTCGGTGAACTTGTACTCATGATGGTTTCGAGAAACGATGCTCTGGTCTACAATTCTGTTTCATGTAAAATATTGTAAACGATATACGTTTAATGATGTACTGGAAGTCATTTTATATGTAATTCAATCAATTCCAACCACAAGTGTACGGAAGTCAAATCCCACTACTTTTAAATGCCATCTGTCATACTATCAGAAAAATATGTTTCAGAAATGGTGATTTCATTTCGCCTTTAGGAGAGACCTGAAGCTGATATTGATGAGTGCCACTCTCAGAGCAGAACTGTTCTCAGACTACTTCGGTCAAGCTCCAACGGTCAACATTCCAGGATTCACATTCGGTGTCACTGAGTTTTACCTAGAAGATATTCTAGAGCTGACAAGGTATGTCTCAACTTATTGTCAGCTTTAACAACTTTTATCTCTTTGTTTCTGGCTGTTTTTGATGTACTTTTATGTGATATATCCATATTTTCTCCATTTATCTTTGCTATTGTACCATGTACACTTTTATACCATCTATTCTTTAGTAGTTTTTTATTTAATAAGCCCAACCATACACAGCTGTATATCTGTTACTATAACAATCAAAAGTAGTAGTGGTGGTTATTTTACCTGACTGCTAAGAAATGATAAGTGCTTGTTAGTAACTAAGCAACCAGAATCAAAGGTAATACAAAGTTTTGGTATGGGGTCATGAATTTGGTTCAAATGAAAATATTGGAAGCATATGCAATCCTACAATATTCAGTGATCGTTGTCGCAGTTGAAATTGAGTCTAAAGTTATGAAATTATGAATAATAAACTCTTTATGTTGTATAGCTCCCTCTCAAGGTTTAATATTAATTAAGCTATAAAACAATGTTTTTTTTTATTGAAATTGACCAATTAGCTATTCCTGTTTGGTAATTATATATCACAACTACATATTCTGACATTTTCAGGGTCGCAGCTACCATTATACAGCCGTAGGCGCTATTTGAAATTTTATTAAAATTTACCGGGAGCACCGGTAAATTTTTATATTCAATTTTTCTCGAAAGCAGAAGTGTTTTAGAGGCTAAGTTTTTTAGTGCTTATAATACATTCATAGGGGCATCCAAATATATCCAAATTGTAAAGAATCACTATCTAGCCAATTTTCAAAATTTCCCAAAACTTTTTATTACCTTTAAGGTCTTCTCCGAGGGAACTGGTAATTAGGATTAATGCCTTACCAAAGAGCATTAGCGCATCGACTTGGTTTCGAACTCGGGTCACCAGATTACGAGACCACTGCTCTACCAACTGAGGTATCGCGCCTCCTCTATCATACATGTGCATGTATCATTGTTTATACACCCTCTTTCTAATTACCAGGTATCAACCTCCAGCACCAAAAAACACACGCCAAGAACCAGTTTGGGTGAAGTACAAGAAAGGAAAGAGAAATAGGGAGGAAGAGATGGAGAAGGAACAGCAGGACCGCAAGAAGTTTAATGAATACCTTCAAGCGATGAGGGAGACGTAAGTAGAATTTTGTTGTCTATCCTTCAACTCTAGAATGTTTCTGCCTCCTGTTTGTCCCGATTTACATTAACAAGCTATCTGCATTTGCTGACAACAGTACATGAAGATAACATTAGATATGTATAGTTTTTGTGACTTTGATATCTTTAAGTTTTTAAGTTCATACAAGATATGTCATATTTGTAAGACAGAAATTACCGAGAATAGAATGTAGATGTTAGGGGCATCTCTTTATGTATTGCGATCGAATATTTATCATGCCATACTTTGCAAAATTGCAAGAAATTTGATTGAATAGACAGCATGTCAAATAGATATTGAATAGATATTGAATATACATTGACATTTCCTTTCCCTTCTCTTCTTTTCTTCCTTGTCTCTCTCTCTGTTATTTTTGTTCCTCTCTATCTCTGTCCCTGTCTGTGTATGTGGGTGTGTGTGTTTGTGTGTGTGTTTCTCTCTCTTTCTCTCTCTCTCTATCTCTCTCTTTTTTTTTCTCTCTCTCTCTTTCCCTCCCTCTCCCTCCCTCCCTCCCTCTCTCTCTATCTATTTATATTTCTCTCTCTCTCTCCCTCTCTATCTCTCTCTCTCTCTCTCTCTCTATCCCTCCCACTCCCACTCCCTCTCTCTCTCTCTCTCTCTCTCTCTCTCCCTCTCTATCTCTTTCTCTCTGGTAGGTATTCAGAGCAAGTGGTGGATACCCTGTCATCAATGGATCACAATGTCTTAGATCTAGATCTCACAGCTGAACTACTGCGCTACATCTCACTGCAAAAACCGGTAAGGTTGCTCACTGACAGTCTGTCATTACTTTCACCCTCTCAGAAATGCAAAGTAGAAAACTACATGAGATGTTTATATACCAGGATATTTGGAAAATGGAGAAAAATTGAGTTTAAAAATCATATTCATGTAATAATCCTGTTTAAAACAAAATACATATCAATTTATGCATGTTTCAATCCCTAAACCCCTTGTCATTTTATAAACCTTTTATAAATCATGGCATCTCAATGGTTGGAATCCACTTTGCATACATGTACATAAGTTGTTGCTATGTAGGGCAAGTCTCTGCCAACTGTCTTAGGTGTCAAGAGAAACTTTCGTTTAAAAAGTGTGCATACATATTAGTTAACAGGTGTATTCCTTATCCACTCTCAATGTAGTAAGCAGTGGAACATTATTCCAACCACTCCCTTCAATCATTTTACTTCATAGATCTTAATCATAAAATTGACATGGAGAAGTAACTATTTCATGCAATTTTGGAGAAAGAGGAGTTTGGAGTTAGACATCCTTAGCAAAGAGTAATAGGGCTTCATTTCAACAGTTGTGAATGAAAGTGTAGAAATACTACTTATGAACTATGATTTGGATCCACTTACCATTTACTGAGTCATCAACTATACAATGGTGTATCTCAATTGAGCTTGACCACACAGTGACTTCCTTGGTCAGTTTTATATCATTTTACACCTCTACTCGTGTAGAGGTGTCATGGTCGAGTGGATACGTCGCCGGACTGTCGATCCCAAGGTCCACGGGTTCGAGTCCCGCTGCAGCACCAATGTCCTTTGGCAAGACATTGATCTACATTTGCCACACTCCACCCATGTGAAGTAAATGGGTACCTGGTAGGAAATTATTCCTTGAACCAGAGCGTGCGTAACAGCTTCACTGCTAAAGCCAGTGAGGGTAATTATGCTGCATTATTGTAGAGTGCTTAGAGACTTCTGATAAAGTAAGTGTTAAGCGCTATATAAGCAAATATAATTATTATTACTAAAACTCATTCACCATCCCTAGAGGATTCCAATTAGTGAGCAATATTTTCTCCCCACCAGGAGGGTGCCATCCTTGTCTTTCTACCGGGGTGGGATCAGATCAGTAAGCTACATGACAAACTCACCTCCCAGACGCTCTTCTCAGAAGAAAGGTTCATCATCATTCCTCTACACTCTATGATGCCTACCATCAACCAGAGACAGGTTAGTGCTAGCTTTGTCTACCACTCTTCCTCTACTCATCACACCACTCTTTAGCAACGGAGAGCATCATAATCACTTCAATCACCATCAACTCCTTCCTCTCTTTTTCTCAAAACCTGAAAACATAATGACTATAAATACTTTCAACCTGTTGCCTTACATCGTAGGAAAAAAAATCCCTGTATTTCTAAGAGATAGTAGTTCACTTGACCTCTCAAAAGATAATTGAAAATATACCTCTACAATTCTTTTCTAACCTGTTGATTCTGAATTCTCTTAGTTCCATAGGCCTCATACAGGGACCACTTGGTTCCTGTATACAAAGGGTTAATTAGTACGTAGACCAAGGAACAGCACCTTTTATCCTTTTGAAAAGGTGTTCTGTAAATTCAATTCTTATAATTATTATTATCATTATCATTACTCTTTGATAAAGCTCCATTGAAAAATTGCAAGGCAATCTCATCTCATGATTCTTGGTTTACTTCCCGACTACAAGGCATTTTCATCTTATCCTTGTCTTCCTTCCCGAGTGTGGTTTTTTTGCAGTTACCATTTTGATTTACATTTCTAATCTTTCCAATGCCTGAATTATCTGTAATTAGAGTTTGATGTTTTCTCATCGTACGCATGATTTATCATTAGGTATTTGAACATCCACCTCCCGGAGTACGGAAGATCATCATAGCAACCAACATTGCAGAGACTAGCATCACCATAGATGATGTGGTCTATGTGGTCAACCTGGGACGAGTCAAAGAAACCAACTTTGATGTGGCCAACAACATTCGGACGATGAAGGCTGAATGGGTCAGCAAGGCGTCGGCTCATCAGAGGAGAGGGCGAGCTGGGAGGTAAAGAACTGGGAGATGGTGTTTGAAAGAAAATGACAAGGATGTATTAATGATGATTTTGATGATTATTTATTGAAGCTCTTTTGTAGATTCTATTTTCTTTGTCCCTATTAAAATTTCCAAATGTTTTTTCAACATGCTGATGATAATGATTATGGTGGTGGTGATGATAATTATGATGTAACTGATAAATCGAAATTAATGTGCTTGATGATGATGATGACGTAGAGTGTACACAAAATAATCTGAAGGGGATTATTTATGATGCTGGAGGTTGTGATGCTGATGGTAATGACAATGGATGGTATTCTCATAAGTTAAGCCGGGACTAAGTCCAGACTAAACAAGAATTTTAGTTCACACTTCTATGGAATGCTAGGTTTCATCTTCCTCCTTCAATATTCATGACAAGGATAATCTACCAAAGACTTTGTTGAAATTCAGTTCATACTCATATTATCTTTTTCTTCATTGCAAAATCAATTTTTGGACACTTTTCATTGAAGGATTAAAATAATCTGTTCAGGGTATTAAATTAGTTCACAACAGGCACTCCATAAAAGTGTGAGAACTAACTAGGCACGCGCTAACTTAGTACGCGCTACCGGAATACCACCCAATGTTGTTAGCACCGATGGTGAAGTTGGTCGAAATCATTATTGAGCTGGTGGTAACAATAGTATTTTTTTACCTGGATAGTAGACGGTAATGGTAATGTTAAAGTTACAATGAGTACACGCATGATAGGTGTATGTATAATTGAGAAAATAATGATGGATGTTCATCATCATGATAATGCTGATGATGTAACTGTTCTTACATAAATGTATATACATGTAAATGAAATGGAATGGCAAAAAACACATTGGTGATGTTACTTATATATTTGGTATTTACATACATGTATGAAGAGGTGTCAAAGTCAAGTGGTTTAAACATTTGCTGGAGATATCAAGGTTTGATATGGAGCATTGTATTTGTTTCCTTAAGCAAGGCATTTTATCGACATTGCTTCTCTCTACCCAGGTGTTAAATGGGTACCCTGTAAGATATGAAAGTCAGTGTAGTTTGATCAAAATTGTGAGGAAAAAAAAAAAATTGTGAGTGGCTGTTAAATGGTGTCTGCCTGGAATTCTCCCCAGGGATTGGAGAAGGTGCAGGCATTGTATGCAGGAAAGCCTGAATCCGATGACCTGTAAAGCGCCCAGAGACATTATAGTTGTATAAAGCTCTAAATTAATCTAGAATATTAATATTATTATACCACCTCGTCCAAGTGACGATATTAACAGCAAAGATGGACTTTTTTTGTGTCTGAGCATCATCCTTTTGAGTTGTGTTCATTTTTTTCCCCATGCAGGGTGCAGGATGGAGAATGCTTCCATGTGTACAGCCAACTAAGGGCATCTGAATTGGTGGAATACCAACTCCCAGAAATCAAAAGAACTCCTCTTGAAGAACTCTGTCTCAACATAAAGGTACCCATATGAGCTTTTGAAAAGATAATCCATTTCCCTTTTTTGAGCCAGAAGGACGTTAAGTCAAATACATGTTACTTTAACACAGAATTAGCAGACAATTTTTCTTATTTTCATTTTTAACTTCCGCTCATTTAAAAAACTTGAAGCATATCTGCACTAGTTTGGCCAGGAGGGATTAAACTTCCCTGCGTGGTCACTGGCAGGTGGTTATTTCATCAAATCAGGTCTCAATTAACAAAAGAAAAAAAGGGATTATGGGGGACCAACAGGTACCGCTATGGCATTGTTGGCTATATAGAGGGCGCAATTAGCTACAAGTAGTGCAGTCCTGCTTTAATATACAGTACATAATACTTAATACTACGTTATAATACAATTGTTTGTTTCTTCTCATATTCAGACCCTGAAGCTAGGCAGTGTGCATCCCTTCATCAGCAAAGCTATGGAAACCCCCGACATCAGGGCAATTGAGCTAGCCATCAGCAGTCTCAAACAAATGGTATCTCTCTCTCTCTCTCTCTCTCTCTCTCTCTTGCTTCTTGTAGTTACGGCTTGTGTTCTTTCCTACAAAGGGGGAAATACAGTAACACAAGGCATAACTGCCAGCCATTTGTGTTATGAAGGAATGATTCCTAATTATCTGCCTTTAACTCCTATGAACTCTTTATTACTCTCATTTTCTGAAAATATCTGTCCTAAAGTATGCATTAAAACTACACTTTATTTCATAATTTGACTCAGGAGATTCCTAATACAGTCAAACCTACCTATAGCGACCGCCCAAGGGAAACACAAAAGTGTTTTTTGTAGACAGGTTCCTTTAGTACATGTTTCAATGAGAAACCATTTTCAAGGGGAACAAAAAATGTGATATTTGTAGGTTTGAATGTATTTGTAGTGGAATGCTGGCAGGTTGGCAGAAGAACTAAAAAGTTTTTTGAGTAATAGTTATGACAGTACAAGTGAAGCCAGGCAAAGCTCTTCATTGGAAACATCATACATACATCTAGAGTGGTATTATTATAATTCATGAAATAGGGATATTTTCCTACATCTTGAGACATCCCAAAGTTTACAGTGTGAAGAGTAATGAGAATGCTTGGGACATCTTGACAGCCCCGTAATATAGAAGAGACGACATAGATTAAAATACAAGCCTCTTACTTATACTATTCTCTTGTATTTTGTACCTATTCCACTTTCAATCTAAATGTAGGGTGTTTTTCAACCACTCTCCCTTTGACTTTCTCCGTTTATACACTATGTCTCTCTTACTTTCTTTTGCTCTATTCATATGTGTCTTTATCATTGTTTCCAGAGAGCTTTGGTGAGGAATGAAATCTGCAGTCATTTCTTTTTCTTCTGTATACCGGTAGTCATCTATAATTTTATTGTTTTTCTTAAATCTGTGTTTATTTATAACTGGGATAGGAGTGGAAGAGAGACATGACTAATTACTCTCAAAGTCTCATTGGATTTGGTATGAAGTTTTGTGAGTATCTCGAATCTTGCATATGTGGGACACCATGTTTAATGTACTGTATGTATTTGTGTTTTTAGAGAGCCTTTGATGATAACGAGGACCTGACAGCTTTGGGATACCATCTATCTCGTCTTCCGGTGGAGCCTCGTATTGGTAAGATGATGCTGTTTGGTGCCATGTTCTGCTGTCTGGATCCTATACTCACCATAGCAGCATCTCTCAGCTGGAAGGATCCATTCTACATTCCTCTGGTAAGTAATGTCCTTTTTTGGAATGTAATACAGTGAAACCTGTCTAGAAAGACCACCCAAGGGAGACAAGAAAAATGATCTTTATAGGCAGGTGGTCTTTACGTACAGGTTCCTATAGTAAATGTTTCAATGAGAAACCAATGTTTCAATGAGAAACCATTTTCAAGGAAAACAAACAAGGTGGTCTTTGTAGACAGGTGGTCTTTCTATGCAGGTGGTCACTAAAGCAAGTTTGACTGTAGTAGTACATTCACTTCTCATGATGAGCTTCAACCAAACTGTTCCTTGGAAGCCATGGTTGTGAAATGAGAGACCAGGGGGGTTGCTTCACAAAGATCCTAAGTTGAACTTATCTCTAATTTGGACTCAACATTTATGGAAAGCCATTACTTTAAAAGGCATAAAATGTTGAATCAAATCATTTATATTTTCTATTATCAAGGTGATTTCATGTTCTTGATGTGGAATTTATAAAAATTCTAAAATACTTCAAATTACGCTTTGGAATATATTTTATTCTAAGGCTACAAACGACTCTCCATAATTGTTAAGTCCAACTTAGAGTTAAGTTCGACTTAGGATCTTTGTGAAACACTCCCCTGGCTTCTTTAGACACACTGTAAGATCAAAGGGTATGGCTCAGGGTATCATGCTTGGTGAAGACCAAAGTACAGGGTGAAAAGAGAAGAGGAAGGCAAAGGATTAGATGGATAGAAGGTGTGACCAGAGAAACTGACCAGTCATTATAAAGAGATACATGCCCACATGTCCATGTACTTGCCCGGGACAGCTAGAGTAGCCTGGGGAGGATTTGCCCATGGTGTCATCGGGAGTCCAGGATTACTCAATGAAAGTCTTTGCTTACACAATAGGATAAGTCTGCATTGCTGTATTAAACATCCGTTACCTACCCCCCCCCCCCCCCTCCCTTAAAATGGAATGTCCTCAAAGTGAATGAAAACATTGTGGTGGCTTTGTTTAAAGCACGTCTGCACTAGTTTGGCCGGGAGGGATTAGATCTTCCAACATGGTCACTGACAGGTGGTTCATCAACTCAGCTCTCAATTAACATAAGAAAAGGGGGATCATGGGGGACCAACGGGTACCGCTTAGGCATTGTTTGCTATATAGAGGGCGCCAGTAGCTTCACGTAATGCAGTAGGGCTCTAAATTATGAAGAAAACAATGATTCCATTCTATCTTAGATTTCCGTGATATTCTAGATTATACCATTTATGTGTGTCAAATGCTATGATAACCATTCTAAAGATTTCCTTTACACTATAGACTACTTTTTATCATATGATATGATGGTAGTTGGACTTCTTATAAGGTTGCTTTGTTAAAAGGAACCAACATGTAACACCACCTCTTAAAGTGCATCTGGCTAATGACCTTTCATCCATCATCTATCTGGGATCTAGCTATCTGGGCAGGCGTACACCATAAGTAGTAAATTGGATACCATTATGTACCTTCCACACATTGCACGTACTGTAGTTATAAAGATCCTAGGTATAGGAATGATGACTAATGATCGGCCAATTGCATCTCTTGGTTCCAAAGCTGTAGTTTTCATGTCCTACAACCTTTCACTATTTGAATTGTTTTCCGCTATTACTAGGGTAAGGAGAAGCTCGCTGATGAGAGGCGTAGGGTGCTGTCCAACAACACCCGCAGTGATCACCTGATGTTAGCTAATGCTATGAGTGGCTGGGAGGATGCTAAGGAACACAGAGGAGAGGGATCCTACTGCTGGCAAAACTTCATGTCTTCAAACATCCTCAGTGTAAGCCTCCCTTCCTCTTCACCTACATACAGTTGTGTGATTGATTTGAAATTCAGATATGTTATTAATTTTGAGTTCTGGCAGTGAAATCACATTTCATGCAAAACGGCCCTAATTCTGAGTTATGAATGAATAGAGGGTGTGGCAATTATAGTGCTTCTAGAACAGTATGGCTTTCACCCACTAGCAACTAGAGATTTTGTAAAAATGGCCTATTACTCACTGGAAGATGTTGCAATATTGCTCTCATTTTTAAATTGTTCTGAACAATATTGAAACATGCGCTATTTTTATATGCAGAATCCAACTGTAAACATTGTAAGGATTACGCACGTATATTAACATTATGACGGTAGACCCTAGAACGGATACTATAGCGCGTTGAAATCGGAAGGGCGGTTTTGGGCGGTTCAGTGAGTAAAAGGAGGGGTGGTTTTGGGCGGTTTATTTGCTAAGGGTTAAAACTAAAATTTGAATTTAATTTCTGTCTCTCATACAGATGCTGAGTAAGATGAAGGGTCAATTCTGTGACGTCCTGCATCGTTTGAGGTTTGTCTCCGACAGATCACCCAAACACATCGATGCAAATAGAAATTCAGGTAGGTGACAACTCTTGGAAATAGTGAATATTTTCTTATTAATATTTGTGATAATGTTGTTACATTAATTGTTTAAAATTTCCTTTTTTTCCTATCAGTACAATATCTTTATTTCTCTCTCTCTCTCCTCTGTTACCCTTCATATATTGTAGATCTACAATTTTTTCTAGGTGTTTGTGTCTTTCTCGTCTCTTCCCTCCTTTCTTTCAAACATCTCTGTGATACATTTTCAGTCTCACTTAGTAAACCTATTTTCGTTTCCTCAATCTATAAAGTCTCTGGTTTGCCCTTCGATATCTGGAAAAACGCTTAGAGACGGTAACAAACTGATGCACTATTGCCCTTTGATATTTGTATAGCGCTTAGAGAGGTATTCAGTATTAACAGCTTAATAAATTCAGATTTATCATTATTAGTACAATTTTTTTTCTTCTTTTAAATCTCAATAGATCAGTAGTAGAGCAGTGATCTTGTAACCATGAAGTCTCTGATTTAAAACCAGACTGATGCACTTATGAGCTTTGATAAGGCGTAAATCTTAAATTGCTTAGTCCTTCTGTTGGACTTTCAGTTGCAGGTCATCCACAGGTTGCATATTTATAAAGGCTTCTTCAGATATAACTTGGTAACCCACCTTTAAAAAAATGCCACATGTAAAATAAACGTGTAAATGAATGTCAACTGCACAACAAAGGTCGTATGTGTATTCACTTATCTCTGTGATATAAGATACAGAAATATGACTCAAATTCCACTTAACGTCCTCAGAAAAAAACACACAGTTTTGGCGCGTCATATCTGAATGAGGCTTAAGCATATTATAATCACTCTAAATTGTTGTGATTTATGATTTGTTTAGAGAATGAGCAGCTTGTGAAGGCAGTACTGTGTGCCGGTCTCTACCCAAAGGTAGCGCACATAGATAAGGTGCCTTTCAATCGAAAGACGGGACAGAATAGGTGAGTCTAACTTAATGTATCATCTCTCATGTCATTTAATTTTAAAAAATTCATCAAAAGTGTATGACAACTCTAATGTCAAAATGGGGTTTAAAAAAAGCCCTTACACATACTTTGTGTTATGTGTGTTAAAATAGAGATTTTGAGACCATAGTTTAGGCTTTTTGTGTACAAAATAGCTCATTCTAGGTGATGTTTAGGCCCTCTGATCAATTCTAACTGGCATCCCTGTTTAAGACATGTACATGTATCAGGCTGGTGCCAATTCATTTGGCCACATCATTGTACATGTAGGTTGTTTACATCATGGTATATGAATAAGGATTGAATATAGCAATGAGAGACTTCTTCACACTGCTAACAAGTATGCTTAGCAATTTGAGCCTTGTAGCTCTTGCTGGAATGCTCCCCAGGTAGTGGAGAAAGTGCATATATACATTGTGTGCGGGCAGACCAGAATCCGATGACCGGGGTAATGAAGGACTTTAATAGAAACTCAGACATTGCCAATGTATTAAGGGCTATATAAGAAATGATATTATTATTTATTATTATTATTTATCTCCTTTTTAGACCTCCAAGGCTAAGCACCCCAGAGGATGGTCGAGTTCAAATCCACCTTAAGTCTGTCAATGCAAATGAAACAACCTTCAGCAGTAAATGGTTGCTCTACCATCTCAAACTCAAGTCAACAAGTGTAAGTTTGCCCACTCTATCTTGTAGGTAAGGTGTAGCTTCAAGGAGATGCTGGGAGGGATCACTGTAATGATTAGTTGATCATTTGATAATCACATTTGACAGATGTGAACATAGGGGAGCATTGTAATGACATCCAATTTGAGTTCAATGCGATGGACAGTATTGGTAGACTAAAAAGACTAAGATCGACTTTCAGTTGGAGTTAACTATGGCAGGCCTTTCATGCCACTATTTTCTCTCATCATTTACTCCAGGCATCGGTTTCTCAAGGGATGTAAAATTATGGTCACAAATCTACATTTTTTAATTTTTTTATTGTTCATTATTGAAGGAAAATATATTATCTAAAGATCATAATCAAGAGACCAATGGAGATATCAACCAGTGGCATGAATGGCCTGCCATAGTTAAGTCTTACTTAAAGTTGATCTTAGTTTTTGTGAAACACCTCCCAGATCTAGTTTTTAATTATTCAACCTTAATGAACTTTCAAAACTACTTGATATTGAATTTGGTCCAGAGGAGCAGAGATGAATACATTTTGACAGAATTCAAGACCATGACCAGCACTACATATTACCCTTAACATACTTTTTGTACACACAGCATTGATGCATGGAAATCACATTGAAATTAATTTTGTTGAATATATTTGAAACCACATGATAGATCTTTAGTGATTGGCATGATTTTGGCAGAACAGAATATTCACGCTGTTCTTTCTTGAAATTTTAAAAGAGAAGGAGTTTCTATTCCTTGAATTGGTCTGTAAAGTATAGATGTGTACCTCTTGATTCTGAAAATCCTTTCGTGTTGCCAATTTACTGGACAGGTCTTTCTCCATGACACTACCATGGTTGAGCCTTATCCCTTGATCTTCTGCGGCGGTAAGATCTCCTGGGACGATGACCAGGGCCATGAAACGGTCTTTGTGGATGACCACATCAAGTTTCACTGCTCTCAGGAGACGGCACATCTCGTCATTGTAAGTCACAGCAGCAACAGTTCTATATTAAACATAAGAAATTTGTGCATGCATGAAATAAATGATTGAATTACACACTTAATAATAATGATGATAATATTATTAATAATAATACAGCGCTTTTATAGCCCATATCACTGCCATAGCATGTCTATTCGCTTAAGATATAAAAGTGAGAAATCTATGGATTCTATTTTTCAATATTCAAATATAGTCGAGGATGGCAAAGCTTTTTAAAAATAAATTACTACCAAAATAGCAACCTACAAACAAACCATCAAACAACATGTTAAACAATGAATGATTAAAATCCTTGAGTATCCTCTGTCTGTTCCTTGTCTTTTCTGTGTTTTGTAGAAGTTACGTGAGGAGCTAGACAGAGTCATGGAACAGAAGATCACCAACCCAGGACCCACCAACTGGAGTCCGGCAAGCCATGAAGGCAGAGTCATGAGGGCCATCATCGACATCCTTGTCATGCAGTCCAGAGATACATACGATAATGATGATGATCAGGGATTCGTACACAGGCACGGTGGTAATGATGATGATGATGATGATGAAGCTGGTGGGGCTGGTGGTGGCCGACAATATGGACGGTCCGGTAATAGGTACACTAATGATGACAGGCCTGGAAGCAGTCATTGGAGACCAGACTCGCATCGTAGGAGAAACCAAGGAAATCCCCACCAAGGTTTCTGGACTCAGAATTAATGTTGCTTGATAATTAACGTTATCATTAGAGTTCTCATCCTGGAAATCCTCATATTGAACTCTAAATTCATGAAACACGTACAGTTGGGGTTAACATCATGGCCGTTATAGATGGAGTCTACTAACTGGAGTCAATATCGATACTTCTACTTCTACTTCTACGACGATACTCAGCAGGATCCATAAGTCAGGATGTATAGTGCTGAGGAATAAACTATCTAGTTCTTGGTCTAGATGCTGGGTGGAAGCGCTCCCTTGAAGCTCTCCAGTGAAGTAGCGTCAATAGCATTAATACAACTGAGTTTCACAGCGATAGGAGACATTGAGGAAACCCTGACCAGAGATAGTGGACTCAAAATAGCTCGTGATCACGTTATCTCAAGAACCAATTGATGTATTACCCCCAAACTGAGGTCATGTATGTATCTTGCAGAGCTGATGAATTGATTAGATTTTGGGGTCACAAGGTCAAAGTTCAAAGGTCACAGGGCTCATTATGTATGCAAAAATAGCTTGTGATTGCATTATCTCAAGAACCGATTGATGGATTACCGCCAAACTTGGATCTTATATGTATCTTGCAGAGCCAATGAACTGATTAGATTTTTGGGTCCTGAGGTCAAAGGTCAAATGCCAGGGGGCTCATTATTTAGCGAAACTATCTTTTATGCATTGTCAATACTGACAGATGGATTACTATCAAACTCAGGACATATATGTATCTTGCAGAGCCAATGAACTGATTATATTTTAGGGTCCTGAGGTCAAAGTTCGGAGGGTCATACGTGTATATGAAAAATAGCTGGTAATCACCTTATTCTGAGGACCTATCAATTGATTACAATTAAACTTGAATTTGAAAAATTGCTTCTGTTTTGGTTTATGAAATCGCTCTATGACGGAGGCATCATTTTGGACTGCGCGCAGTCGAAGTTCCATCTAGTTTTAAATTCTGTATACTCAGAGGCTGAGTATTTCCAGTTAGGTTTACTGGTTTTTATAATACAATTTGAATAATCTATGAAGGGAATATATTTAAAAGAAGGGCCATGTCAGTCCCTTTTCTATGTTTGTATTTTTGTTTTACATGGTTGAGTTACAAAGTAGTGACAGAATTACATTTAGAGTTTGAGATGAAATGGTCTGTTTGGAACAGCAAGGGCATTGATGCATTATATAACAGGTCAATGCCATTCTGGCTCCAAACACACAGAAAGTTTGATGTTAGTATCAGATTTGTGAACAGTTTTATTCATTAACCACTAGACCTTCTCATTCTGAATGGAAATGAATTTCACTTTCAATATGATATCATGGAAACAACAGCAATACAGAATGAAACATTTACAAACAAAATCTGAACTGAGTACTGAACAGCTTGAAGTGAATGGCGCCCTTACATTACATGTTTAGAAAAAACAAATTGGAATAACTGCAAGAGGGATAATAACAGGCCTATTACATGTAGTGTGACAGATAATGCCTCACTGACTCTCTTACATTTGTAGTGATGCTATTATACGGATATTGACTGCTTTGAGGGACACAGTTAAAATTATACCCCAATGTGATCTCAAAGCTGTACTGTAGCTGGAGACAGGGGCGTACGCAGGGGGGGTGTTTTGGGGGTTCAAACCCCCCCCTTTGGTATTTTTATGTATGTAAACCCCCCCTTAAAAAACCTAAAACCCCCCCCTTTTTTTTTTTTTTTTTTTTTTTTTTTTTTATTATTAAAAAAAAAAAAAAAAAAAAAAAAAAAAAAAAAAAAAATTATACCCACGGCTAACCTAAATAAGGTGACCTTACCCCCCCCCAACGACAAAAAATGTCAAATTTTGAAATTTCGAGACCAAAAAAAAAAAAAAAAATGTGTCCTCTTACCCCCCCCCCCCCTTTGTTTTTTTTTTGTTTTTTTTTTTTTTTTTTTATTATTTAAAAAAAAAAAAAAAAAAAAAAAAAAAAAAAAAATTATACCCACGGCTAACCTAAATAAGGTGACCTTACCCCCCCCCCCCAACGACAAAAAATGTCAAATTTTGAAATTTCGAGACCAAAAAAAAAAAAAAAATGTGTCCTCTTACCCCCCCCCCCCCCACTGAGCGACTTTTCGGCTGGCTGAGTCGTTGCGATTTTTTTTGACCTCCAAAAAAAAAAGAAAAAAGTGTCCGCTTACCCCCCCCCCCCACTGAGCGACTTTTCGGCCGGCGCGATTTTCAAATTTTCGGGAGCAAAATATTTTAAAACCCCCCCCCTTGAAAAAATCCTGCGTACGCCCCTGGCTGGAGATAAAGTAAAAGGGGTATTTTGTAAGCTGGAGATAACCAAGGAGCTATAGTTGTAGCTTTGACCCGACAATTCAGCAGTCACTATTTTTTTAAATACCGCATTCCACTTGTGGATTCTTAAAAAGGTGATTTTTGACAAAATATCCTTTTGAAAATGTATGGAAATTTACAACTCTATTATTAACTCTAATTTAAGTGCACAGTTACACCCGGTCTAAATCTATGTCACTCTGAATTTTGATATGTGATATATAAAATAATTTTTGCTGTTTACATGAATATACATGCAATGGTTAAGTCAACATTTGATTTTATACTAGGAGAAATAGTTTCTGAAATGCTTCTTAAAGTTATCAACACTTTATCTCCTTTTGTTGTATTGTTTTGTATTTCTTTCCAAATGTTAAAAAGTTATATGAAAAAAATAAATGCCTATTTGAAAGAAGTACTTACAAAAAACGAATATATGCTGCCCTTTCATGCTACTTCATGTTATGTGACTAATATTGTGCCGACACAGTAAGGAAAGATAATAAGATAGTATAAGGTGAGAGAGAAAGAGAGAGAACTGTTGTATAGAAATGGGAAGAGAGAGAGAGAGAGAGAGAGAGAGAGAGAGAGGAAGAGTATATAAAGAGGAAGAGATAGTGATAGGAAGAGAAAGAGCGGAAGAGAGTATACAAAGGGCGCGTTCATGCTTGATTTTGACGGCCAGAATCAGGCATCTGTTACGCGTTTAGTTTAAAACACGCTTGCGTTCATGCTCACTTTTGTAGAATCACCGAAAAACGGCGATCACGATCGCCGATCGTAAACTCACAAAAAGATGCGTTTACAATTTGTAAACGCGTTTAAATGGGGTCAACGCACTGACCTCTAGTGGGTCTACGTAGCATGCGCACACAGGTTTGCGAATCCAGCTGAAGGCCACCCAAGGAGAATTGCCTGGAGAAGTAAGCATGAACACTACATCGTGGAACTGCGATCACGATGAGCGTTTACGATGAGCGTTTCAGATCGCTCATTCTGCCTTCAAAATTTAAGCATGAACGCAGCCAAAGAGAGAGAAAGGTGGTTCAGACAGGGAGAGAGAAAGGTGGTTCAGACAGGGAGAGAGAGAGGGAGAGAAAGTATAGAAATAGAGAACTGGTACAGAGAAGGAAAGAGAGAGAGAAAAAAAGAGAGGACGAGCAAATAGAAAAGAGAGAACTGATACAGAGAGGGAGAGAGTCTGTGTGAGTGAGTGGAACAAAGAGATAAAGAGTAATAGAGAATATAAATAGAGAGAAATGTGGTACAGAGAGAGAGGGAGAGAGAGAGAGAGGGGGGGGGGGGGGAGAAAATATAGAAACAAACTTGTACAAAAAGAATGAGAGAGGGGAGGGGGGAGTAGCTCCCCATAGTAAGGAAAAAAATAGGAAACCAATTATTATGACCTTCTTTTCCAAGAGCTAGTGCCCAGAACATAATTTTCACTCTAAGCACTGGGCGTCTGCCGGGATTAAATAATGGGACAACTATAAGACAACTGATAGCGGACTACAGGCAAAACCTGTAATCTAAGGACATACTCCTCTAAAAATGTCAGAAAAATCAAGGGAAGTCCCGTAAACTTGTAACATATCATATGGTCATTGAAAAAATTATGTAAAAACACTACTCATTAGATCAATACGTTTGATATCCGGAGGAAGGAGATAATCAGCGCCGAAGACAAGTTCTTTTGGAAAGCGGGGCGGTATTATGAACCCTGTGTTATCTTTAATATTGTTGTATCTTTGAAGATACGATAAAGTTAGTATTCTGAATATTGTTGAAACTTTTGCTGTATCTTTTCTCTAGCTCTTCTCTTTGGCCGCGCTTGCGCTATAACTGTTGTGCGCTTTTAATTGCACTGGGTTCCAGTTTAATTGCATGGAAACCAATCTCCATGGCCACAAAATCTGAAGTAGAGGGTGAGGAACGATACATTTCTTGATAGTCTAATTTCAGTAATTACAGGCCACGCAAAAGAAACACAAACGAATATGCCTATTGCTAATAGCAAGTAAAGACTAGTTGTGATCCAATGATATAATCATGATATATTGTATTCTTTATATCAATACATTGCAGAGATCTTCTACTTTCTAGTTTCTTGTTTGATTAATCATTTGATCGTGGGTCAAAGTACTACTTTGCGAATGATTTCAATTGAAGAAAGATCAAAGCCAAAACAACATTTTGAAGAGACAATGGTATACATATCTCATAGAAACATTAACCAGCAACCCAGACTTTTGAAAAAGAAGAACAAACAACAACGTATATTATAATCAATATAGGCTTTGATCGAACAATGGAAGTGGAAGATTCAAATACAATTTTACTCCTCTTCTCAATCGCTCTGAAAGATAAAGATCACTTCTGGTCATGCGATTGCATCGTGAAAGAAACTTTGTGGAATCGATCAGAAAAGGTTGATCACCTAGCATTATAGGTATTGGTGTGTACTGCAAGGTTCTGGAATCATCAAAATGATAAGAAATTTGGCCCAGTCTTGGTAAAGTTACAAGCACTGTACATAGAAAGATGGACTACGCACACGTGCGCACACGTACGTAATATCTATCACGTCCAAATAGATAAACCAATTTACCAAATATATCAATAAGTAGACGGCTTCTTGGTAAAATTTGTATCATGACGTATTAGTCAAAACGTATTCTTTCACATGATTGGTAATAAGAGCTACCATTTCATTTTTTGAGAGGGGGGCATTTCCAAAACAGGTCTTTACCTTTAAGATCTAAAACAATAGTGTATGGACACGCACACACACAGACACACACAATACACACCCACACATCCACACATATATACAACCACCCACACACGCTCTTGCACACAGATCTCACATTATACCGGCCCACATTATGCCCACCAATTGTGGACCTATATTACATATCAAAATATACCACCGCTATTTAGACAACAGTATTGTACAAAGTATGAAAAAGGAGAAGAAGGCAAATAAGTAACCAATGGAATCATTCTTCTGTAAGGTTCAGCCTTGATATCCGGCAGTGTAGTGGTATTTTCCCCAGTTTGGATGAGGCAAATTTTCTAGCTGCAAAGTTGGGATCAGACAAAATCTATCGGAGCATACTATTGGTTGTTCCATACATAGCTGGCTCGATATATGACGTAGTTTGAATCGCATTTGACTGGTGAACACGTCGTTATATGCTTTAAAAGGTTTCATACTGTCTAGGACCACCAGCTAAGGTATAGACCGGACTCAAATTTTGCCTTGTATCTGAACTAGGAGGGAAATGCGACGAAACCACCAGTGGTGCAAAAATTAAGCCCGGCCGAACCTTTTTCGTGTTGGATAATTTCATTTTGGAAAACCCCATTTGATGAGTGACAACAAATTGTATCCATGACAAATTAAACATTGGACCTAAGACTAGATTTATTTAAACAAGGAAACACTACTCCTGAGTATGACCTGGACTATTTCATGTTGCCTCGCTGATGTTTTCTAGATTGATTATTTCAATCAGTCCTTTATGTCCATCTGTGGATGCGGTTGGCTCAACTATTATATGTCTTCAATGTTTACAAAGTCCTGATCTTCACTTCACCAGCTAGATTAAGGGAAGCACGATGCTGACCTAATATTGATTCTTAGTATCGTGATTGGAGTTTTCGTACGTAAAAGAAGAGAGGCCTATATCATACGGTTCTCATTTAGGATTCCACAAATAGCCTAACTTGGAAACGTAAGCGTCACCAGAGACACTGTAAATTATACAAACAAACTTAATAACGGCAGAACTTGTACCTTGCCCAAGCGAACCAAAGAGTTGTAAAGAGACTGGTTTTGAAATGCTACATGAACAAAGGTATGCTTGGATTGTCCAAAATATTAATTGAGGCCCTGCACCTTAATTTGGAGGCCTTAAAGAGAATTCCACAAGGTTTATGAATGGTGTAAAGCTAGAGCAGAGGGCTCGACTAATCACTGACAAACTTATTTTACCTGTTTACTAGAGTTTCACCTACGTATTATGGCGTCCTTACTAAGATGGAGCAAGTCCTTTTCTGGACTCATGATTGTATTCTACATCGCTGCTACAAGTAATGGTAAGTAAATAATTACACATTATCATCTTTACGAAACAAGGTACCTCGTATAACCTCCATTCATTCAAAACAGTGTTTTTGAATAAGGAAAATTCAGTAAGCTATGCTGTACATTGTATGCACTTGGAGAGCAAAATAAGTATTCCTATTTATTTACTAATGTACTAATGTAAAGCGTTTCTGAGCATCATGTAAAGGCGCTATATAAATATCAATGTTTATTTATGTATGTATGTACAAATAAGAAGAACAAACCAATAAACATAACAAATTTCTCTTTTTAAAGTCAATATAAATCTATACATATTATAGTATGTACATCCAGATATATTTTTCTTGTGTAACGTTACTTTATACTAGGTGTGAAAAAAGAGAAAAATAATAAGCTTTGACACTTTTGACTGTTACAAGATCCATAGGCAAAGTTCAAACCAGATTAGTGTTTGCATAGTATAAAATGTAAGTCATTAAAAGTCAAATTTGTGACAATTCTTTTTAAAACGATTATCTGAATTTCTGTTTACATTTAAACTATTGGACAACTCAGGGACATTTACTTCATAACACAGCAGTATATATTATTGACTGTTGTTTTATCTTACTAGGATACATCGTAGACCTGACATTAGTGACCAATCACCCCCTCCTGGATCCTCCCAACACACATGATCAATATATCGGCGTCTACCTAGGTCAGAAAGATGCGAGCATCAGAGACAATATCACGTTTAACCGAATTATTCGGACCATTGATACTGCACGTCTCCCGAACTATATCGACACAAAAAATGAAAGTCAACGTATAAGAAAGCTAATCTTCGAACAGTCTAATGAAACCAATGCATTAGGAGCATTCTACGTAGCTTTCGATTATGAAGGAACCACACGTAATACTTCTACTGTTGTCTTGATGCACAATGGTGAATATAAATATTTGTAAAAATCGAGAGTCTTTAATACCTCGGTCAGAGCGCACAACCAACTCCAAACAGACCAGTTTACTGGTCGGTTTAAACTGGTCGGTTTGGAGTTGGTTTTGCGGTGTGACGGAGGTACAATGTATTAACCAATGGATGTAATGTAACTTGTTTACTGGGTCTGTAGTCGGTCTTATATCGGTCTTGTTGGGTTCTAGGACAATTACTCACTGGAAAATTGAACCCCGACCAATTAAAAGCGGGACAGTTACCCCCCTCTGCTAATTACACTCCGGAAAAATACCCCCAAAGGCAACCATCTCCCGAGGACAGCTACCTTTGGACAATTATCCCCCGTGCACAATGACTCAAGGAAAATTGCCCCCTCCCCCCGAGGAAAATTACCTCCCGGTATATTACACCCTAGTACAATTAACCCCCCCCCCCCCCCTCAGGACAACCAGCCCCAAGATAAACCAAAAACAAGGACAACCACCCCCCGATGACGAATAACCCCTCCCCCTTCCAAAGAGAAAAAGGATATCTTATTAGAAATTATAGGAAAGTTAAGAATATTTGAAGTTGTCATCCGTGAAACACAAATTGGCGACACTGTGACGTTTGTTTGTTTGTTTGTTTATTTTATTTTAGCACGGTGGCATACTTTAGCCAATGGCTGTTCTTCAGCATGGCCGTGCATATAAAAAGCAATCACAATTTTAAGAAACATACATTATAGATTAACATGATTGACATACAAAGTTAAATAAAACATACACATATATATAAACAAATAGGTTAGAAGTCGAGAAATCCAAACAAGCCCTACTTTAGAAAAGAATACGAACAGAAGAAGAAAATATATATATAAAAAAATATATATTTACAAAAAATAGAAGAAACACAAATCAGTTGTTTTTGTTTGCTATTAAAAGTCAACCGAGCTCCTCTCCAAGTTGCTTTCTTCAGAATATTTTATTAACTTTCTGTTTGTTGTTATTTATGAAAGAATGTATAATTGTTTCATCAGGTGTTGTGTAAAAAATATGTTTAAACATTCAACCCCCAAATGAAATCCTGGCTACGCGCTTGGGGATGGGGTGCAACCTGCCACACGCTTCTACCTCTTGGTTGCTTTGATCCATTGCCGAAAATATTTTGGCACCTATCATCTCCCCCAACCACGGATACAAATCGACACCCTTGTTCAAAAGGATAACCCATTTTTGATTTTTACCTTTGATGATTTCTTTACTTCCAGTACTAAACATCAAGCATATGTCTGCATATGATTGAACAACAAAAAACCCCATTCATATGCTTACAAGCCAATACAGATCATACAGTCGATCAGTGACTTAAGAAGTAGCCTATACAACTTATCACTTTTTTCTGTTTTTTTTCTTCTCCAAAGCTACTTCTGCACTTCACAATTTTTTCCCTGGCATATTATAACCCATTTACTTTACAGCGGCAATCTTGCCTGAACGGACCACTTTGACTGTTCATGTCGGGGAAACTGTGACGTTCGCTGTTGTCACCAACGTAACGGAAGATGATTTGCGGTGGCGGTTTAATTATGACAAGATATCTGACAGTACTGGAAAGCAGAGTCTTACCTTGGCGAAAGTGAGGCTAAACCAAGCTGGGGTATATCAGTGTTTTGTAGATGGAAACCGATGGGATGCAGCCAATGCAATAATCCTTCTTCATGTCATCAGTAAGTTGATAGCTTATCTATCCGTACATGTTTCTTTCCCTAGAATCCTGGATATTATCTTTTTCCAAAGCACCTTTCATTTCGAGCATCGTTGAACTTGCAACAAAAGCACTTATAATTTTATATCACTCTTGTCAGCGAAATGTCAGTGAAATTAATGCGAAAGGTCAAACAAAATTTAATGTATCTACGTTCTGTGGATTTCAGTCATGCTTCTATATGGCTGTACCCATACTAAAATGGCGCTTTTAATTAAATAATACATTAATGTCAACGTATTAAAAAATGGATGTCGACAATGGTGTCTTTTTGTTAGTGTAAGGGGGGGGGGGGGGTCTAGAAATTGAAAGTTAGAATGCAGGCATGTCGATGCATATTGGCATGTATTTACTTCTGAATTGTTTAGATGCTGGATTCTTTTCCACTTCGAAATACTAATACTGTTTACTTCAAACAGGATGCCCAGCTTATCGTTGGGGATCTGAATGTGAACATAACTGTACTGAATGTCTCAATGGAGGCAAGTGCGATGCAGACTCAGGAGAGTGTGTATGTCCTCCTGGTTTCAACGGGACAACATGTGAACACGGTATGTTTTACACTTCTATGGGTCCTCTGCACTTCGAGACACTGGCACGAGACACTGACATACTTGTTGAACAAGGCGGGGGTGGGGAGGGGGGCACAGATGGGGGATGACACATAAAGTAAAAGAGTCACATACTCAAACACAAACATACGCTTTTTATCTCTTGGATTCAACCCGATATTTGATGTGAATGAAAATAATGATTTCATGTAAAATAGCTGCTTGAATCAAAGTTCAATCAGAATATCCTATTAGCTACGTCGAGTGATACAAATAACAAAGCTTTCATTAATAACATTCAATAGATGAAAACCTTAGATGAACAAAAAGCATTATTTCGTCGGTAATTTTGTACATTTTGATCGTTCAATACCTAAACATCTTTTCAATATAGCTTTCACGCGAATCAAAATTAATTCAACTCAAATGTCAAATAGTATTACTAATCTGTTGCGTAAGGTCGTTTCAAACGCTATTATGAAGGCAATTGTATCCTTATCTCTTTACTGTCACTTCATCCTAAGTCCTGGGCAGCAAACGATTTGGGCAAGATGGCAGCTTTTCTTGTGATTCCTCAGGAGATGATCACAGTCTAGGGTGTCGGGAGAAACTCTTCTGCCTACCAGACCCCTTTGGATGCACCTGTGCAGCAGGATTCATGGGAATCAATTGTACAACAGGTACTTTGAGTCATGTAAATCAAATTCTGGAATCATCCCTTACTACTACAGACCTCCAAAATACATCATCTTGAAAGAAAATTTGATATGACGTACTCTTGTAAAAACAGATTACTCATGTATGTACATGTACATGTAAACTAGAACAGTTCCTCACATGTCTATTTCGGTAAATGATTGTATCTTTCATGGAAGAGGTTTTGACACTCTACCGTTTGAAATATTTGATATTCTTAGGCGTAAAGTGAAGGTAACGAGAAAAGATATGAACCCTGACGTAACTTTCATTAATTAGCACCGGCAATAACCGAATACGAAAGACATGAGTGACGAAGAAGGTATATTTATATTTGTAGTAATGATTGGGTTAAACCATACGATTCTCGAGCCTGAAACAGAGTCTGTCCCATGTGTGAACTTGCATCTCGTGTGATGAGAAGAAGTATTTGTCTACATAGAAATGCTTTTCAAATGACAACTTCTTCTTGTCAAGTGCACACTAAGGCGGTTGTTCTTCCTTCAATTGTTGATACCTGAACTTAAAACGAGCCTAAGGATATCCTGAATAGAGAAATTCGAGAGTAATGTTATAAGTACCTATGAAGGAACTTGGTAACATAATAATACCATGAACTAGTATCCTCTTTGAGGATCAAAGAGATTCCATAATAGGATATACTGTGCCTTTCGAAACCTCAGTTTTGTTATCTTTTAAAAATTGGTGCTTGGGTTGAAAGTGAAGATGTTTTATTTGTCATTAATCTGTCACCACGTAAAGGAACAAAAATAATGATATTCTTTTACAAGGGACATTTAATAATTTTTTTATCATTATTTGGAAAAGACGCACACAGTAAAAACAAGCGAAAAATAATAGCTTTTCTTTAGTAGTGAACATTTGTGTTCATGTAACTGAAAGAACTGGAAAGCCAAGCACTCTTTTCCGTATGAATATATTTAAGTAACCATTTATGATCAAGCACGTAGCCCTTAAAAATTGTGCTCGATAAGAAGGAAGGAAACCTAATTGACAATATTATGATGGATGATGCTTCCACATTCCGCTTTCTAGATAGGAGGTTTAAAAATCTGTCCATCGTTAAAATTTTATTAGTCAAATTATGTAGGGAAAATGTTGCATTACTAAAATAATATCATTTCTTCGCTTTAAAACCCATGTACTATAAAATTTCATAATTCCATTTAAATCCGTCGAAGCGGTCCCGTTTGGATTAAAAAGATTTTTATTTTAAAGGTGTTGATTTACAAATACATGTAGAAACCTCGTTATTAAAGAATTTAACAGATTAAAAAATAAACGTAATCGAGTTTAATATCTTCATCATTAAATGGACCAAACTAAAACGTATTAAAGACGTTCTAATGCACTTGTGGGTGGGAGCTTTTCAAAGAATAAAATAACCGAATTAGCAATACCCAATGTACCAAGCATTCAAAACGCACCCTTGATACCTCATTGACCAATTTATTTAAGATTTATGTAATTTTTTTTTAGAAATGTAATCTCAAGGCAACAATTGCATTAATGTACATTGGGTTCTTGGTCCTGCTCCTCAATGTGAAGTTGAGATGTTTTAATAGCACATTTGGCCTACCTCATAATGATGTTCCTTATGTGCTATTACTTATCAATTCCCATGATTTTTTTAAAGAATGTAACCCAGGAACGTATGGAGCAGATTGTTTGCAAGAGTGCCACTGCTCTCCACGTAACATCTGTACCAAGGATACAGGAGAATGCATTGATGGGACTGCGTGTCAAGAAGGCTGGACTGGTGTCAACTGTCAAGGTGATTTTTTTTCTTCAAACAGACAGTTTTCATACTAATGTGTATTTTTTAATTTTTAATCTTTGTTTTTTATTTAATATATATTATTATCACAAAATAAATACAACTCCACTGAAGAGACACAGTCATTTTCTAGTGCTTGGCAAAGCAAAAGGCAAAAGGCAAAAGGCAAAAGAATTTTTTTGTTTGTTTTGAATAAAAACAAATTTAATTTGTGGCTATATTTGCAGTTTTCATTTCACGCACATTCCCTGTTTTCGCTATAATGCTGAGTTGAACGATGGAATTCTTTCTCCAATCCATGCAGACTTTAATTTCAATCTAAGTTAATTTTGTCATTTAAATCAAACATGAACATAGGTAGGCCAAAGGTCACATAAATTATCATCATTAACTGTTCCCCTTATATGTTAACTAGGTACATTCAGTACATTCTCTAGGTCTTATAAAAATATTAATTGTCTTGTGAATTGTTATGCATGTTAGTGCAAATGCACTCGAAGCGTTCTAGGTGATAGATTGTTTTTGCACAACAGTAATTAAGAACAAAATATCGCCTCGTTCGGAATGGACCTAATGAGTCGAATTATTTTGCTTATACGATCAGAAAGTCTGCTTCTCATGTCTCGATACTTACTCGTAAGTACATTTGTAGAAAAATCTTTGAGATTTAGTATTGATATGAATATTTCCGCACATCAATTGTTAAACGAGTTGCAAGGACTTCTATAATATTCTTAAGTACGTGCTCTCCAATTAAAAGCTATATTTTAAAAGCATCACATTTTCAACAATTTTTCTTTTTCCCATAGTGGTAAATATGAACGCTACCGTGTGTAGGAAAGATGTGTTAGTTAGATGAGAGGACGGGTATATTTGTATACAATATATTGATAATTTTCTTGTTTATAATCATTTTCCTATTTTTGTTCAGTTCGAAGTTCCCCCATTCAGGACGTTGACGCTGAAACACGTAAGCTCACATGGGCTCATAGATTAACATAAGAATACAGTGCGTCCAAAAAAAACAATACAATTTTGAAATGGCTGCCGAATAAAAAATATATGATCCTGGGGGAAAAGTTTTATATGTATGGAAAGCTCATAAACTCAACTTTCATATGACACCAAAAAGTCCGAAAATGATTAATGCTTGGGTTAGCACTGCTCACTTTTATAAAGGGTATGAAAATTAGGTTGCGCAGGAATTAGCGTTCCAATCTGTGAGAGGTAACTCCTTTGGTGCTTACAAAATCGAAGGTGATATTATACATTCATGATTTGCTGAGTGAATTACATGGTTTATAAAACCAAAATTTTATGCATGAGTGAACAGAAATTTCATTTTTTTATTTTAGCATTGTAACCTTCCCTGGTAGACTCAGTGGTGTGTACATGGGAGTCAGGAGGGGTTGATGGTACATGTTGTAATTTCCATCTTATAAACTGTTATTTTTTATATCTGTGACTTTGAATAAAAACCTTCACCCCACATTTCAGTTATTGTAAGATTAGTTGAACATCTAACTGATTTACTTAATAACCAAATGGGGATTATGTAAATTAATTATTCAAATACGGTTTGTTGAAAAGAGGAATATCACAGATGTTGGCTACTTATTCTTCATGTTACCCATTTACCATTTACAGAAACTCAAGTGCTAAAATGACTGGTTGGTTGGTTGATAGATTAAGTGATTGACTGAGTTATTTATTGATTATGATTGAATGATTAAATTGATTGAAATACTGAATGGTGATTGAATGCTTGATTGATTAATTAATTGACTGATACCGTACACTGTTGATTAAGTGATTGATAGCTGAATGTAATGGATTGTCAAGATATGCACAAGCACACCAAGGCAGAGAGAGAGAGAGAGAGAGAGAAAGAGAGGAGGAGGGGCATACATGTCCTCTTGACCCTTATCCCATCTACCAAACAAAGTCCTACCCTACATTTCACCTCCCCTGCACCATGTTCCATCACCCCGTCCTGACTCCCATGAACACTCCACTGAGTCTACCATGGAAAGTTACATTGCTATACGGTAATAACAAATGCAATTCCTGTTCACTCATGCATAAAATGTTAATCCCATAAACCACAAATTTCACTCGGCAAACCCAAACTCAGCACAATTGATCATTAATTGGTCATATCATCCTCAATTCCGTAAGCTCCAAAGGATTTACCTCTCACACATTGGAAGGCCAATTCCTGCGCAACCTAATTTTCATACCCTTTACAAAAGTGTGCAGTGCTCACCCAAGCTTGAATTATTTTCAAACTTGTTGGTGTCATATGAAAGCTGAGCTTATGAGCTTTCCATACATATAAAAAATTTCCCCCATAATCATATATTTTTTTATTTGGCAGCCATTTCAAAAGTGTATAGTTTTTTTCGGGACGCACTGTATAGGCTACTACTACTACTACTACTACTACTACTACTACTACTACTACTACTACTACTACTACGACAACTACTACTACTACTACTACTTCTACTACTACTACTACTTCTACTACTACTACTACTACTACTACTACTACTTTAACTACTAGTACTACTACTACTGCAACTGCTAATAATAATAATAGCAAAATTATTAGGCATCTGTATTTCGCCATCTATTAAAAAAAAAATTATTCTAAGGGACATAAGGAGAAATTTATAAGAATAATAGTCTGAATTTCAGAGGCCCTGCACGTATTCTGATTGTTAAAGAGATTGGGTATCTTTACCTCAGATTCTAAACAAAATCCAGGATTTGGCTCATGCTGCAATCATAATTAGGCATTTTGGTCAGTCAGGAATCACATGACTTTTACAAGCTGGAATTATAAATGTCAAAAAGTGTTTGGCAGCTTTTTTTATAACACAACAGTCTAAACGTGGACCTCCTTACCCCCTGTATGAAAGAATTGCCATACACTCACAGCTCTAAAGGTGTTTGAAAACACGTCTTTTTTTAGTTTGTTGTAATATTCATTTCTGTTTGTAATCAATGTTAGCTCCGTATGACAATGTTCTTTCTTTTTATTTGTTTGTAATTATTTCTTTTTTAATATATCGTATCTAATGAAATATAATATCATATTATTATACACATGACAATGAAGATGTCGTAATGCTGGATTCTAGAACACAGTCTTAATGAACTTTGTCTAGGCATTCATCAATCAGAATGCGACTATATATTACTGCCATGGCTTTAACTATTTGGTGCCACTGGATTTAGACCATTTTATCATGGCCGGTAAATATTTCTGCCAATTACTTTGAGGGCTATATTGCTGAACATCGAAATTGTAATTCCTATTCGAGGTATGCTCACAATAATGGAAAGATGTATTTTTATTATTGAAATCGTTGCATATTTCTAATATATTTCTTCCCACACCATCCTCTTCACCTATTGTCTCTTCTCCATCAAAATCAACTCCAGCTGGAGTTCCTTCAGGTTCCATAGCAACTGTCGTGGGAGGCGCTGTTGGTGCTATTTTTGTGATTGTTATCGTTATAATTCTCATCATCATCTTTTACAAGCGAAGAAGGTTAGAGAGAAACCTCATTCTTAACTTCTCCATCTCACTAGTCCATTCTCATCGAACACCTCCATGCAAAATGCTAAAACCGTATGGTTATGAAAATACAAGCTGAATTATGATTGTATTTGTAAAACAAAATCTACCTAGTTATTTGATTACTTCTTTTTTTCTTCAAAATGCTATCCAATGCAAATATTCTAAAAAAAGCATAACGCTTCATTCATTTTATGGCGACCACTTTGAAAGACTTATTATGTTAATTGTTTGCATTTTGAAAGTACCATACCACTTCCCACATATCATGTTGACATGTTGCTATGTACATAATTATTGGGAATTGATGATTTTTTAAATCATTAATTTCATCAATGCAATTCACCTTTGATTTCATAATATCAACTTTCAGCGATGAATCAGCCACTACTAAGTCTAAAGGGAAGGAGTCCGATTCGTCTCCGCAGTATAAGAAACATGTATTTGATCGGTCAAAGACAGACGTTCATACCTACCAAGACCTGAATGCTGACACCCACACCTACCAAGTTCCTAAGAGCTATGGGAATCCTACCGACCGCCATACCTTCCAAGATCTCAAGAAACTTGACCAAGAAGTTATATACGAAAATCTAACTGATGTCTCATGAACAGAGATTATATCAACGTGCTGATTAAGAATTGATTACATGAGAAGAAAAAACAAGTCCATCACAAAGATTTTGAATTATCAAGAAAAAAATGTTTTTACAATTTTGATAGAGATAAACAATTTCAGTCTTAATTTATTACAAATATATGTCCATGTACCAATCCTTTCGCGAAGATAAAACCATGCTTAAAAACTTATCGTGAAATATTTAAGTTTATCTTAAAAACTATAGGCTGGTGGACTTGGGCGTTTCCTTTCATGTATCCAATTAGAAGGCTATGATGAAAAGTTGTCCTTAATTATCATTGCTTCCTTTTCTTCGTCATGTGCTCCTCTTTCTTCGTTTTGATTTACCATTTTTACTCGCGTTATTCCCAAATCTTTTTAATCAGTTGAAATGTTTTCTTTTTAAATAACATAATTTGCACAATTCTGACAAATTGTTGTAGACCTTAAGTCCTACAACTACATGAAAGTCAAGTTATGGAGTTATTTTCTTTAAATGTATATATATACTTATCTTTCTCCATTGAAGTTTGCCTCCTATCTGAATAATGTGAATGATGTTTAAGAAAAACATGAATCTTACATCATGAAGCAAGAAAAAATAATTAGATTTTCGATTCTGTCTTCCTTTTATCTGCTGAGGAATCTAATGAAAAGTATTAACAAATATAAGATATGTTTTGAATGAGTCATGTATAAAAATACATATGCCATAACAGGCGCGTAAACAGGGGGAGGGGGTTAAACCCCCCCCTTTGGTAATTTTATGTGCGTAAACCCCCCATAACCCCCTAAACACCCCCCCTTGGATTTTTTTAAATTAAAAAAAAATATATATATATATTTAAAAAAAAAAAAAAAAAAATTCCCATGGCTGACCTAAAAAGGTGAACTTACCCCCCCCCCTCCCACTTATTCAGCGGCTGAGTGGCTGAGTCGTTGCGAAATTTTCGGCCCGATTTATAAATGTTAACCCCCCCCCCCCCCGCCCCCCCCCCCCATTATTTTAATCGTATTTTTAGATATCAGTAGGAAAAATTCATATATTGTACTATACATTTTGCCTGTTATTGCTGGTGGAAGACAATATCCAGATTTGTGGAAAATAATTAAAGATAAAGGTGAGTTCTGGTAAAAAAAAAAAAAGAATTCTTACCTGATCAAACGAATGTTCAAGATTACAAATAAATGACATTTGCTAAACAATTTTCGTAGAAAATGTATACAGGCTGAGTAATGAGCATAACAAGATTAGGAAATCAAGGTTAGTAACCCCGACATCATTTGTTTAGTCCCATATACATCTTTCTGTCTACAGTGCTTGTTACTTTACCAAGACTGGGCAAAGTTTATTATGATTTTGATGCTACATGATCAACTTTTTCTGATCCATTCCACACCTTTTCTTTCACAATGCAATCGGATGACCAGAACTCACCTTTATCTTTAATATAATCATTACAACAAATGCGACGACTTCTACTTTTACTTCTACTAAGCAGTGGAATTCAAGTTGATTAATACTTTAACGATAATATGTTAGAATGTGAACGATGAAATATGAACAAATAAGTTGTGAATATAGACATAGAATATGCACATAAAATAGATATGAAAGCATTGCGTTAGATAAGGGTGGATTTTTAGATAAACATTGAAAAGTAGATTTAGAAGTTAATTAGTTGAACAAGGTAATGCAATCCAAATCAACGTCTATGTATTTCCATATGAGCAGAAAATGTTTAGGCACATATTAATTGTGAATAATGATAAATAAAATTCTAAAACACGCAATAT